AAGAATAACATCATGCATGCATCTTCAGTAGTCATAGTAGCACTGTTCAACTAAAGCAGGACTGTCAAACTCCCAGCCCATGGGCTGGATGCATCACATGCTGGCCATGCCCACACCTGGTTTAGCGAAGGGGGGAAAAGTCCCAATATGTCACATGACGCCACTGATACGATGTGAGTTTGACACCCCTGAACTAAAGATTACAAGATAGGCTAAGATCTTTGTCTTATTAACACTCCCCTTTACTAAAAATATTCCACAGCAACTTGGTACCTGGGCTTTAATTTACACTGTGGGTTTTTTATGTGCTAAATAAGTAATACTTCAGTATGTGAGTAGCAAATATGTTATCAATACACAGAAAAAGTTGGATAAAACTAAATGAATTGGGCTCTCTTAACACAGGCATATTTTGTCCTAGGATGTATAATTGATCTACTTTCTTCTTGTAATTTAGTGATTTATATAAGAGGGTTGTGTAGACAGTTGTGTGAAAAATAAAGTACGCCCTCTCTTTGAGTTCTATGGTCTTGCGTATTAGGGCATCGTTAAAATCATCTGATCCTTAGCAGTTCTTAAAAGTAAGTAAATACAACCTTGGATGAACAATAACACATGACATGTTATTACCACATCATCATTTATTTTACAAAAAGAAAGCCAAAATGGGGAAGTCATGTGTGAAAAACTAAGTACACCTTATTGATTCAATAGTTTGTAGAACTACCTTTAGCAGCAATAACTTGAAGTAATCAAGTAATCAATGACTATCAGTCTCTCACATTGTTGTGGAGGAATTTTGGCCCACTCTTCTTTCAACATAGCTTCAATTCATTGATGTTTGTGGGCATTTGTTTATGCACAGCTTTCTTGAGCTCCTACCATGGCATTTCAAGCAGGTTAAGATCTAGAACACCACAATTATTTTCTTTTCCAAACATTCTGTTGTAGATTTGCTGGTGTGCTTGTGATCGTTTTCCTGTTGCATGATGTCAGCCAACCTTTAGCAGTCAGATAGATGGCATCACATTTGACGCTAGAATACTTTTGTATATAGAGGAGTTCATGGTCAATTCAGTCACTGCAAGATATCCAGGTCCTGAGGCTACAAAATAAGCCCAAATCATCTCCCCTCCTCCACTGGGCTTGACAATTGGGTATGAAATGTTTGTACTGTGTTTAGTTTTTGCTGCTAAGCATGACACTGTGCATTATGCCAGACATCTTCACTTTGGTCTCATCTGTCCAAAGGACAATGTTCCAGCAGTCTTGTGATTTGTTCAGATGCAACCTTGCAAACCTAAGCCGTGTTGCCATGTTCTTTTTAGAGATGAGAGGCTTTCTCTTGGCCACCCTTCCAAACAAACCATACTTGTTCAGTCTTTTTCTAATTGTACTGTTGTGCTGTCCCACTCACATGCACATGTAACAGTGGTTTATTAATATTCCTCAGCAATTCTCTTCACTAAAATTCCAGAACTGTCACAGTTAAGTCCAGCCAAAAGCAGACCACTGCTAGTGGTCAATGGACTGAGCAATGGACAGCGACTCCACAAGGCACTTGAAAGTTTCCTAAACAAGGTAAATCCACTAAGCAAAGTTAAATTCACAGTACAAAAGGCATGAGGCAAGAAAAGTCCAATGTTCACAAGGCACGATCCAAAGTAAAGACACGGGGTCAATCCAAGGCAAGGCTGGAATTCAGTGAACAGGAAACACACAGCTAGGAAATGTACACATTGTTTCCAGCATCATCTCCAACTATCTGCAGTGTTAAATAGCCAGCTTATGGTGCAGCTAAGAGGGACGAGGCTGCCTCTTTGGGTAATCAGGCTGAACTTTGCTGCTCCTGCCTTTTCTCAGCCCTACATGTTTTTGTATCTGGTACAGAAAGCAGTTTCTCCTCCTCATCACTAACTGGTTGCAGCTATGTGTTTTTGCCACCTGAAGCCACACCTGCAGTGGTGCTTCAGCCAAATCAAATTGGTCGCCTGCTCAGAGCCATTGACTAACTGTTCTCCTGAAGTGCCTGGGACTGGTTCATCCTCCTCTGAACTGACATCTGGTGAGGCATCTGGGGAAACATCTGGAGGAATCATCACAGTCATAAACGTTAACATTTAACATGCTAATTAAGGACTGTAGCATCTGAGATGATTCTCTGAGCATTGCATGGTCTGATCTTGGGGTTAATTTGCTGGGATGTCCACTCCTAGGAAGATTGGCAAGTGTCTTGAATATTGTTCTGACCCAGCCTTTGCAGAAGCAAGAAATGGACTCCTCGCAAAGAAACCCCCCTCTTTATTTACCACTTGTGAATTAATTGCATTCACCAACCAAAAGTCCAGGAAAAAGTCCTTCAAGGATTTAACTGCAGCAATAGACCTTATCAGTTTATTGCGATAATTTCAAGGCTGTGAGTTCCCAGCTGAAAGGCTGCAAATTAAGTTCTGGCAAGGCAGTCTTTGTTGCACAAACACAATGAGAAAAATCTCTAGAAATGCAAACTGTTGTCTCCTACAACCACCACTCCCCTTTCCTTCTATTTATTCCCCAGGACGGGAGGGGCTGTTCAGCATCCACGTTTGATTTGCTTCCCAAGACAACTTCTTGTCCTCCATTGTTCACCACTCTTATCTGCTCTGAGCATCCATGCATCTGGAACAGGCCCCAGCTGTTCTTCCTCCTCACTCATCTCTACAAAGGCAGCTGCCTCTCCAGTGGCTGGTAAATGCCAGGTGGCCCTGGCTCTATCTCTGTATCCGACACTGAGCATCCATCAGAGCCTTCCCCAGGTTCCAGAACTGGCCCACGTTCTTCCCCAACTTCCTCATTGTCTGAGTCTGCCACCAGCTCTGTTTGGAAATGACCTTATAATCCTTCCCAGGTTAATGGGCAGCAACAATCGCTTCTCTAAGACCATCACTGATGTCTTTCCTCTTTGGCATTGTGTTAATACACATCTCAGTGCTGGACACCAGCAAACTCCTAAAACTTAAGCTTTATTATAGAGATAGTCACACTTGCAGATAATTAATTAATGAAGGGCAGTTGATAGCAGCACACGGCTGCATCTTGGCCTCTTCATACCTATATGGAAGCAGTAAGAGCGTACTTAGTTTTTCACACATGACATCTCCATTTTGACTTTGTTTTTGTAAAACAAATGATGACATTGTATAATATGTCATGTGTTGTTTATCTGACATATTTATCTACTTTTATGAACTGCTAAGAACCAGATAATTTTTAATATGTCCTGATACATAAACCATAGAACTCAAAGAGCGTGTACTTTTTCACATGACTGTATCATAGTAGTAGATTGGAGGTTATATAGTTATGAAATTTGAACGTACTAGTGGGTTACAAAATCTGGGATTTCTTATAGAGAATTCTTAAGTAAGAAGACCAATTTAGGGATAGGATTTCTTGAGAAGACAGACTACTTATAAATACCAATGTTCCCTGGTCAAATGTAGTGTTTCAGGAATATTGGATCTATTAAGCATATCTCAGCTGAATTAGTTGCATATCAAAAATATTTTTAAAATGATTGTACTGTGTAAAGAATCTGTGACTTTAGAAAAAGGTGGGTTTTTTTAAAAAAAGAACTGCATGTATATATTTTAAAGTCATAGTTACAGATTTTTGAAGAAGACTGAAAACTTTGTGATGCTTCTTTATTATTTTTAACAATATCAGTGTTTTAATTGTCCAAACTGCATCTTGTTCCACATACAGTATTTTAAGAATTCTGTTGCATTAGTTGATTCTAGCTGCTAATAAAAATTGTTACCATTTTGTCCTGTTAAACATTGGTAATGCTCCAAATCTTCAGTTTAAGACTAGTAGTAAATATGTTACATATTTTATATATTAATTAATGCAATCATTTTAATATGTTTAGAAAGTAGATTTTTTTCAGAACTTTATTAAAATAACATTCAAATGTTATTCAGCTGCAGATTTTCTTTTCTACAATGAAAACTCCCTGTAGTATATATCAGGTTGCTTTTTGCTATATAAAATCAGCCAATTTTCCAATTATCCATAAAGGTTGATGAACTGTGTGTGTGTTTAACATGCTATGACTATTTCTAATTAAGCTTTTGATGAGTTTTATGAACTAAGTGCTTCATAGATAATCACATAATGCAGTTATAATTGATACATCAAATTCTTAAATTCATGATATAAGAAAGATTTTAAAGGTTGGTTTTCAAGATGGAAATAAGTCTGCATATAATGATCTTAACTAACTAAAAACATCTTTCAGAAGCTAAGCAGGGTGGGGAAGGACAAATATATTACTGCAAAAATAAAAATATACCAGGCTATCCTAATTTTCTGATCATCTACAAATGTAAAATTGAGGTAATATTTAACTGTAAGCAGTATGCTGCAGTCTAAGGCTGTGATAAATAACCATTTGTATATGAATATAGGTTTACTTTTCTAATTTTCATCAGTGTAAAATTTTTGCATTAGAGCAGTATAAATGATTAACTGAAATTACATTAAATGATATAACTGATATAGCTGCATAAATAATACATGTGTCCTTTAAATGTGGAGACTTTTCCTTTTAAATTCATTTTGTATTAAAATATTGTTTTATGCTAAATTTAAATACATTGAGGCATGTAAGCATATTATATACATATGCATGCATATTATGTTCAATTAATTGTTAGTTGCCTCTATGCTTAATTTTAGATATTATAATAGAAAAGCCATGTTAGTCTGTAGTGAGAAAAATCTGGCAGCACTTTTTCTGACTAAGAGATTTTGTTAAAATACGTAAGCATTTTTGAGCTGCATTCACATCATCAGATCTATCTGATGACGTGAGCTGCAGCCACAGTAGCTTGGGCCTCTTAATGTTTGTCAGAAAAATGCTAGCATAATCCTGTGACTCCTTTGCCATGCTGTCTTCATAATTGAATTTAATTAATTTTATATTTCTTAATATTTTAAATTATTATTGTTTTGCTCAGGCAATCCATTCTGTAGCTTGGCATCACGAAGGAAAGCAATTTATTTGTAGCCATTCAGATGGCACTTTGACTATATGGAATGTAAGGAACCCTACTAAGCCATTGCAGACAATCACTCCCCATGGTAAGTTCACAGTGTATGTGGTTTGTATTTAAGATGTTGGTACATTATACCTTAGGTTGCACTTCTATACATATCTGGAAGTAAATCCTATTGAATTTGCTTCCAGATTGTGCCTACAATGAATAAATGTGCCTAAATTGTTACATAATATTTGCATATTCTTATATGGACAAACAGATTTTTCAGTGTCTTATTTTCAAATACATAGATTAGTGTAAGTAATAACAGCAATCACCATTTGCATATGTCCAGTCTTGCTTTATATTTTTTATTGTTAAACCTAATTTGACTTTTTAAAAATTAAAGCAAATATGATTCGGAATTAAGTTGTAGGTCATTACTACATTATAAGAATGTTACAATATTTCATTGTGTTTAAATACTAATATTGATTTTAATTTGGTCCTTATTTGTAAAACCTTTTTTTAAGTATAATGTTAGTGTGACAAAAAAATGATTATTTAACTTTTGCCATTTTCCAGGTACAGGTTATATTAAATTCTATTCAATTGAGTAAGTGTTGATTACTGGAGGTTATTTTAGATAAATGCTCATTCCTTATAAAATACATGGAGATGATTCAACTTCTAAACATAACAAAACTGGACTAAACAGATTTTCCTGCTCCTTCTTTCCATTGCATACTCTATTTAACAAAGACTCTTCTGAAAGATGTACAGGTTACAATAGTTAAGTTACAATAGTTCACTTAGCAATAGTTCAAAATTATAACACCCACCCTGAAAAGTACTTATGACCCAGTCCTGAAGTTATAAATATTGCAGCACCATGACAGCTGTTCGTCTTTATGACTGACTGCAGAGACACTGCAATGTCCCCCCTACCTATTACCCTTCCAGGGTCCTAACAGACACTGGCCCTGCTATGCTAGGCCACCAACTCCTTCCCATCCCGTCACTGATTGCTCACTTACCTTTCAAAGAACTGCAGAGTTCAGGGCCACATGGCTGAAAAACAGCCATCTTCTCAGATGCTGGTGAAACTGTTTTGGTTAGGTCCTGTGTTCTTAACCATCCTTCTGTCCCCTGTGTAAAAAGCTTTTAGCACAGATGACAGAGGCCTGCAGGAGCACGAGATTGTGCCCCCCCAAAGATTTCCATCCCCTTCTCAAAAGGCTTTTGGCATGCAGAACAGAGGCCTGCAGGGGCACAAGATCGTGGCCCCAAAAGCTTCCATCCCCCTTTGCAAAAGCTTTTGGGGCAGAGAATGGAGGCCTGCAGGGGCACGAGTTTCCAACCCCTTTGCCCCTGCAGGCTTCTATTCTTCAGGCCAAAAACTTTTGCAAAGCAGAACGGAAGAACATATGATCTAAAGAAAACACCTTCACCTGCATCTGAGAAGACGGCTGCTTTTCTGCCATGTAGCCCTGAAGTTTGCCAATCTTCAAAAAATACATGCAGAGAAGATCGAAGCAGCTATGGGGACCCTAATGGGTGGGAAGGGGAGCATGAGATATCTCAGTGGGTGCAAGGAGGCCTTAGGTGGCCAGAGGCAGGTGGTCTTTTCCTGCCCCCAAAGTATCTCATGTGTGCTTAACAATCTGTGCATTTGATTGGGGGGAAGAAGGATAGGGTTCATTTGTTTAAAGAGATTCAATTAACATTACAACCGTAATGGGCAGACTCCATTATGGCTGTAAATCAAGGAGTATCTGTATTCACTAGCAGTGATGCTCCATTGAAGTTTTAGGAACACCTAGCCACCACTTCTCATCTAATTTCAATTTCCCATCCACTCTAACAATAAGGAGTTACCCTGAGAAGTTGAGAATAGGGATGGTTGTTCTCAGTCTTTTGCATGAGCATTAAGCTATATTAATAATGAATCTTGAAACATCATTTTCTAACAAATGGAACCATGGATATACTGTTCAGATCGTAATATAATTTCTAAGATTTTGATAACTTTCAAATCAATGTTAAATAAAAATAAGGCAATATTTTGTTTTAGGGAAGCAGGTCAAAGATGGAAAGAAGCCAGATCCCTGTAAACCTATTCTTAAAGTTGAATACAAAACAACTAGAGTTGGGTAAGAATTGGGCTACAGTTATTTAATGATGAATTGGATATTTACTGTGTCTAAAGATGGAGTGTATGAACCAGATGCCCTGGACAGAGTACTTTTGATGGGATATCCCATCAGAAGAGAGAAAGCAAGCAATTTCAGTGAATTCCTTATTTTTTTCTACATATTGATATAACTTTTCCCATACTGTGTGAAACAATCCTCTGTCCTTCCAAATCTAGGACGCCTCAGAGGAAAGGCAAACAGTTCTGTTAGATCTCCCTTACAGCATCTAAAATGTTCCCTGAACTGAAGCCTGACTCTTCTTTTGTTCTCTCTGAATCTGGTCTACATTTTGCAAATTAAGATATGTCAAACAGGTATAAAAATATTTAATAAGCATTCAGAATGCAAAAATAACAATGTATTAACGAGTTCTTCAGTTTTATACAGTAAAAAATATAAAAATCTATATACTTAAACATATACAAATATCTCTAAATATATCACCATCAGAATTGTTACATCTCTCGAAAGATTTCATGAAACTTTATATTATGTCCCCAAATGTGATGTCCCCAAATTTATTTATACATGGGAATTACAGAAAAAGAGCAAATTCCATTTCACGAATGGAATGTTTAGTACATTTTATGTGGAGTCTCTCTTTGATACAGGAGTGACTCTGCTCAATCCTTGACCGAGATATGAAGCTCAGGGAATCCCTACAGTTTATTTGAATTTGGTGGAATATGCTATGTTTGGGCACTAGGTTTTCCTTTTCCTTTTGTTTTTATTACTATTGCTTTTATTGTTTTATTATTGCTTGTGAGTTACCCAGAGTTATGTTACATAAGACTTTTAAATGAATACATAAATATATAACATTCTTCGAGTGCTCAAATTATAGCTTGAAAGAGATGTCTTTTAAAAAGCACCCATTAATTGTTCATAACTCAGTGCATTGACAATTTTTTTCAATGTTTTATTGTTTTTGCTTTAATATGTCCAGTCCAATCCATATTGCAAGCCTTATAATGTTGTATAACGAGCAGGCATAGCTCACAGAGTTCTTAATATATTATTCTACTAAATCCAACAGCGTTCCATGTTTTTTAATGTTATCTTTCATTGCCTTAACTATTTATTTGTCTTGATTTTCAGAGAGCCCTTTATCATTTTGTCAGGTGGTTTATCATATGACACTGTTGGAAGAAGACCCTGTTTAACTGTTATGCATGGAAAAAGCACTGCTGTTCTAGAAATGGATTACTCGATTGTAGATTTTCTAACTCTGTGTGAAACTCCATACCCTAATGGTGGGTTCTTTATTTTTATTTTCCTTCGTTCTATAATTACATAATTCCTTCATTACATTCTTTATTAACAGCATTCTCCACTCAACATCCAGCAGAAATGTTGGAACTAAACTCTAGAACTACCACATTCCAATCATGTTAGCTTGCAATTCTGAAATTTCCAACATTTTTGAAAACAAGTAGATATGTAAAGTAGCATATCCAGTTCAGATTTATTTTTGTTTATTTATTAAATTTGTTAGCCACTCATTTTACAGCAAGGTGACTCTGGGCAGCTTATAACATAACTCTGGGCGGCTTACAACATCAGATTTACAACCTTATAGGCCATGAAATTGTACAAATATTTACCCAATTTCCCCCTTACGAAAATATCTTCACTGATCACCCTACTGTAGAATAATCTACTTCGGGGTGTCAAACATAAGGCCTGCAGGCTGGATGCAGCCTGCGATGTGGTAGGATCGGGCCCGCAGGGCCGTCCTGGAAAAAGTAAGGGGCTGGTCCGTATCACTTCAGCCCAGTTTACCCAATGCGTGTAGACTGGTGGTCACATCCACCCAGTCAGTCACACCCACCCAGTCAGCCATGCCCACCTGGCCCCCTGAGGTCAACCACAGCCCTGATGCAGCCCTCAGTGAAATCGAGTTTGACACCCCTGATCTATTGCCATGGTGATAAGGTTGAAAATAGATAAAGTGTATCGGAGAAAGTCATATATGAATTTTAATTGTTTGCAACTGTTTGACTAGTCCTAATTTCCACGTTATTTACAAAGTGAGTCAATTTCTAACTCTGATTATTGCAATCAAAATGGTGGAAGAAATCCATGTAACAGAAGGAAAGTCCTTATATCAATTTTAAAAAATAGTAAATGAATAAATTAAAAGAGTAAAAGAATGTTCTAGGTGCATGACAAAATAGTGACTAGAAGTTTATGCTCTTTTTAATGCTTTCTTGTCCTGCTATTTTTATTATTGTTTATAGACCACTTATGGTTATGGTACATAAGATAGATATATAGATCCTATATAGATCCTATAAATAAAATCATATTTCTCATGATCTTTTTCTAATCTCACTTTTGGGATTTGGAGTTGAGAGCAAATAGTTTCCTTTTTTCAAGAATAAGGATCTCTGTAATTCTAAACCAAATAGCACATTGGGCAGCATCAAACTTAATGGTGAGGAACAACCTTTCTTATGCCCTGAAGCTGATCTGAGTATTTTTCCATTTTCCATTCTCTTCTGATTTCACTCATAAAAATAGCTGTCTCTAATTTTCTATTTGTAAATGAGATGGTAATTTCACCACTTTTGAGCTTGAATACAATCTTACTGAAGTTGTAGAAAAGGAAGGCGGGGGGAGAGAGAAGGGAGATACTGTACTTGAAGAGTGGATATGGTGCACATTGCTGCAGATTAACAATGTGCTTTCCTGAGATTGCACAATTACCATCTAAATCAGAAAACATTGCAGCTTCTTAAACCAGGCCTAGGAACAGTGTGTGTACCCATGGCCCCTGAGAAGCACTTTGTGACCTTCAGATCTAAAGTGAGTCATATCTCTGTTATTTCTAATTCTTCCATTGATTAGCATGTAATTGGAATGGTGCAATGTGTTTGGGAAATTGCTAAGAAAGCCTTACAGAAAAATAGAAGAATCTGGTTAATTTTAGAATGGATCCAAGGAAAACTGGGGAGAGGTGTGTTGGAATGAAAAAAATTGGAATATCCAGAATTTTCCTGTGAACTTTATGAGAGCTTTCTTAGTTGCACCAATTTGCTCACTCTGCAAAGCTTCGATGCTGCTTGCAATTTTCTATCAGAGTTACTTCTTTTGGTCCATGTGATTATCAGGCAGACAAGCAGAGGGACCTGGCAGTTGGCCAAGAGAAGAATGCAAGTTATATTGTCACTTGCATTTTTTTTTTTATATTCTTATAAGAATATTGTGACTTACATTCTTCTGATTTTCCTTATCAGTGAAAGCTTTTAATCCTTTCTGCCAAGGATCAGCAAAGCTATCAGTTTTCTTTGAGGTTTTGAGGAGTTCATTTTTTCTTGGTTTTGTTAGTTGTATATATGGCTGGATTTTTATATTAATGGTTATTTGTGCTCATTTTGACTAGTTTCAATTGTTCTTAAATGTTAAACTGTGTAGTAATAAAGTTTTGGCAAAATAGATACAAAATACACATGCAAGTAAAATAATAAACATGAATTATTCTGATATTTTCTGACTTAATCACAATATTAAAATTGAAATAATCTCTTGTATGTCAATCTTTACTGGTCTTATTATAGTCTTTGTGTGAAATCAGCAGTGGCTAAATATTTACCAAATGTGAATTATTAATTGACCTTCTTTGAATATTTGTATCTTTTTTAGATTTCCAAGAGCCATATGCTGTGGTTGTTCTTCTAGAAAAAGATTTAGTAGTTATTGACCTTGCACAAAATGGGTAAGATATAAAACTGAGCAAGATATAAATACCTATTCTTTGCTTATTTTCCTAATCATGTTTAACAATATACTGTTTCTATAGTGGTCAATTTTTTATAAACTAGGTTTATTGGACTCCTTTGAAGAAAAACATTTTATTGAAGTGTTTGCATCATTAAATTTAGTGAACTTATTTCTATAGTAATTGTACATGACATGCTATGGACATACTAATTTTATCTAAATATCACTTTCTGAACTTAAAATTTGCATTTATTCACACACATGAAAAGTATTACTGCAGAGTTCAAGAACAGTCTTGAGGATCTTTCTCTTTGTTGAACCTTCTTAGAAGTCACTAAGCTTACATTTTTAATGTATTTCATTAACTGAAATTTTCCATAATAAAATCTTGTATCACCTTTCTGTGATGTACTTTTAATAGATCTCTTGTACTCCCATTTTTCATACACGTATTTTCTTACAAATACCAAATCTTTGGCACAAGGTACAATATACATGCCTACACATACACCAGTGAATGATCACACACATGAATCAAACTACTGTAAATCAATATATATATACTAGTAATGGTGTAGTGATTATGCTTCAAGTGTTCTTCAAGTGCTATATTTCTTCTTCTGTTGAATTCATTTCTTTTTCTCTTTTAATATTTTTATCATGGAAAAACAATTTGAATAGTATCAAATTTAATATGTAAAAAATAACAATCCTTGTCTTTTCAACACCTCATTAAAGGTATCCTATATTTGAGAATCCATATCCCTTGAATATACATGAATCTCCAGTCACTTGTTGCGAATATTTTGCTGATTGCCCTGTAGATCTTATTCCAGCACTTTATTCAGTGGGTGCACGACAAAAGCGTCAAGGCTATAGTAAAAAGGTAAAAAATAAGTGTTAATATCATATTCTGTTCTTTATATATTGGTGGGCAATTGTTGTTATGATTTAATTAACTATTTTTTAATAGGAATGGCCTATCAATGGTGGAAATTGGGGTTTGGTCACACAGAGTTATCCAGAGATTATCATTACTGGGTAAGTAATAAAATAGTAGATGCCAAATAGAACATATATTGAAAATCTTGTTCATAATATATATGTTATGTTTATTTCTTTTAATAGATTCCATTGATCATCCTAGTGTATTAAAAAAACATAGAATTGAGAACAAATACAGATAGGATTGACTTCTTGTGTAATTTAAAAATAACCTTGTTTGAATTCATTAGAGCTTATTCTCTGTAAGTATTAAGATTGTAGCCTTGGTTTGCCCTACTCTACAGCAGTGGCCCCCAACCTTTTTTGTGCCACGGCCCGGTACCGGCATCACAAAATGATCCGCGGCCCGGTACCGGCATCAGCACGTATGACAAGGCAAGGCGAGCTGAGCGACCGGTCAGCCAGCCGTCCCCCGCTTCTCCCCGCCACCTTCAACTCCTCCTTTGTACCTTTTTTGTGCTTTTTTGTGCTTTCTTAATCTCCTCCGCAATCGGGACGGCTCTTCGTTCGAAGCCGCCCCCCCCCTTCGATGAAACTAAGGCGCGAGGATTCCTTCAGGACCCAAACGCCGCTTTCCAACCGGAAAAGCTCACCCAGAAGCACTTTCTCGTCAAAACAAGATGGCGGCGCCCAGCAAACCGGCGGCCCGGTAGAAAATGATCCACGGACCGGTACCGGTCCGGGGCCCGGTGGTTGGGGACCCCTGCTCTACAGAACAAAAAGGCTACAAACTGTTAAACGATTAATGAGACCAAAGACAACTAATCCTTCTAGATTCTAAGATGGTATAAAAAGAGGGGATTCTTTTTGCTTTATAAGGAAGTTAAATCTCAACATTCAAAAACTATATTCCATGGGATAAAAAATAATTCTCCAGACTTAGGTTGGAAGAAAAGAAGGCAATTCTAATTTCTCTTCAGATTACAGAGACACTTGTAATATTGCATCTAAGACTCTAAGCACAATAATTTGCTTATTATGTTGTTGAGCTATTAACATGTCAATGCTAAGAAGCCAATAACTATCTAAAGCTATACAGTTGTTACGTAAATTCAGCATAACTAAGTAAATCTCACTACTCTTCAATTTCTAAAAATACTTTCTAAAACATTTCATATTTTAATAGACATGCAGATGGATCGGTCAAGTTTTGGGATGCTTCTGCAAGTGAGTGATTTGCCACTTTCAATAAGGTTCTTGCTCCCCCACACACCCAAAAAGCCATTTAACATGTAAACGCTAAGAGCAGCATAAGATGAATGGCATAGTAGTGACATTACTTGTTTCTTTTTTTATTTGTTTGAATATTAAATATTAATATCAGTCTTGCTTGGATCCAATTGAAATGAATGTACTTTAAATTAGTTGTGACAAAATTGTCTTTGTTGAATAGGACTTAAAACTTTTTGATTATGCATTCTATCTTAGAGCCATATCATAATTAGCAATTTTAATATATAAAATTAAGTACTCATGTCATTGAAAATCCTTTATTTTTCTTAAAAGGTATATTTGAGACTCAGACTAAAGATTGTAAGGTGCAATATCTTTCTCACAATAAATGCAACTCAGACATAGCTCTTTCTGTGCATTGATATTTCAATCTCAATTGAAATATCAACCGATATTGATGAAACTTAAACACCCTGCAATATAACCTCTATTTCAGAATTGCATTGTTTGAATGATATTCCTATTCTCTGTTTTCAGAATTGCATTGTTTGAATAATAGTCCTATTTCTAAATGGAAAAATAGTCTCCTCAAAATGATTTCATTTAAATATATAACCAAGTTTATTTCTTAATTTATTCCTAGTAACTTTGCAAGTACTATACAAATTAAAAACAGCTAAAGTATTTGAAAAAACTCGAAATAAAGAAGATAGGCCAAGCACTGACATAGTAGATGAAGATCCATATGCCATTCAGATCATCTCATGGTGTCCAGAAAGCAGGATGCTGTGCATAGCAGGAGTTTCTGCACATGTCATTGTTTACAGATTCAGCAAACAAGAAATAACAACAGAAGTTATTCCGGTAATGGCATTCACTTAAGTTCATTTCTACTTAAGTGGCATTCACTTAACATTCATATCTATTGTTATCAAGATTCCTATATTTCAATGGTGAAAATACAGCAACAATGCCAACTTGCATAATTTTTTGTTTCATCATTTCTTCAGATTGAAGTTTATTAAAGAGATAATAATCATGTTTGTAGTTACTTCCCTGGGATTGGGAAATAAGTGGCCTTATTCATTACAAATAAAAGTACAATTGAACCAAATTTGATAAATTTAGCAATTAAATCATGCCTATGAAATGTTTATTTCAGATTACAGCTCAAGTCACAGGAAATCATTAGGCCCTATCCATTTTCCTTCTTGTGCTCTCTGGCATCTCTATGTACCTGTAGGACAGGAAGTTTAATACAGATAGTTCTTGGCTAACAGTCACTCATTCAGCAACTGTTCAAAATTAGGATGGCGCCAAACAAATGGTACTTACAATCTGTCTGTAAAGTTCTGGCTGTCCCAGCATTGCCATGGTCATGTGATCATGAACTGGCCACTTGGCAACTAGCTCATACCTATGACGGTTGCAGCATCCCACAGTCACATGATTGTAATTTGTGACCTTCCCTCTAGTTTACTACAATCAGAGTCAATGGGAATGTCAGTAGGAAAGGATGCAAATAGCTCCTTAAGTCATTCCCACTCCTGCTACTTTCCCATACATCCCATCCTCTGCACAGATGACCGAACTCATTCCAGGATACAGCATCCACCCACCCACCTTCCTTCACTCACCCCACTTTCAGACATGCTTATGCCAGTCTTCCACACACTCTGGAGTACTCACCCACTGTCCGGCTGCACTTGTATCACAGCAGCCACTTACCCACCAGCCAGCTTGCTTGTGAGCCCCCTTGGATTTGCAACTTCCTGCCAGCTTCCTTGTTGACTTTGCTTGCTGAAAGTCACAGTGAGGTCCTCAGTAAATGAACTGCAATCCTCGCTTAATGACGGCAACAGAGACTGCCAGGATTGCTGTCACTAAGTGACATGGTTACATGAAATTGCACTTTATGACAACATTTGTCTAAGCGATGCAAATTCTTGTCCCAGTTATTGTTAAAACCTGTAGCTGCTTTCAGTTGAGAAATGTTATGGTTTTTTGTCAGTTCATTTTTATCATGTTTAAGAAAATGGTTTATTCTACTATTGACTGATTAGGTTTATTGGCTTGATGGAGACTACAGTGGGATCTCAGTATAAGAAGATACAGTGTAAAAATCTGGCTGTCATTTATTCTAGATGGAAATGCTTATGGAGTCTCTTAGGTGTTGAATGACAAGAGTAAAAAGACAATGATTCTTTAACCAGAGTAGGATGCTGAGCTAGTTCTGGCTGTCTAACAGTAATATTTGATTACTGCCTCAAGCTTGGAAACATGATATAGGAGTTCCAGTGATATGGAGTGCTGGAATTAGCTTAATTGACAAAGATGAGCCAAAATGTCCTGTTATTTCAGAGTCATCTATTCTGGCTTCTTGTAAGCTTTTAGTAGCAGCTCAAAGTACTGGTGTTAATATTTAATGACATCACCTAGAAGCATTTGCCCTATATGTAGCTCTCTAGTACTCAAATTTAAAAGTAGTATTCTTTAATGTCTGTCTTTATGGAAGTTAGAACCATGGATGACATCTTCATAAAATACCTGCTTTGTTTTTGTAATAGTTTGATGAATGCATTTCAGATTCAGGATATTGCCAAGATCAGTTATTTTCCTTTAAGAGAATGGGTCACTAATTTTAAATTCTTGTTACCAAGTTTGTGCTTTTTCATTCTCATTTGCAGATGCTTGAAATACGGCTATTGTATGAAATAAATTATATAGAATCTCCTGATCCTGAGCAAATGCCACCATTGCCTACTCCAGGCACAGGTTCCAATCCTCAATCCATCATCCCCCAGTCTCATCCCTCCACTAGCAGTAGCTCATCTGATGGACTTCGTGATAATGTCCCATGTTTAAAGTAAGTATAATAGTGTATTCTAAATAATGGGCATTGCTTGAGTGCTTAAGCTAATGGAAATACTTCAATGTATTTTGTCACGTATTGTTTTAGTTAGAACATTAAAAAATAGGCAGAGTCAGAATCTGAACACACAACGACTAGTGGTATAGAACTATCACTTGTTGATGCTGTGTGACTTCATCTTCTCTGCTTTAGGGGCTGACTGACAAGACATTGGAATTCTTGGCCTCCATCTATGGCCTGACATGTGTAGATGGTCATACCTGAGATTTCATATTTGCCTTGGACTGATGCTATATCACCTGGAACTAAAAGGGATTTGATACCCTACCATATTGTTACTTAGTTACAGTTAGAGTCATCTCTTTAGGATGGCAAGATTATTTGAATGGCTCATCCCAGTCACCTAATGGATTCTATTTCTGAGGAAAGGGTCAATAGAGACCTCTCCTTTCAGGATGCTGTGACCAATTTACACAATACCTTGTTCACAAAATTGCTCAGACTCACCATAGTCTTGCATCTCCAAAGGCAGTGTCTGTAGTAATAACTGGGATATTATTTTGCCTTGTTCTCTGGAATTCCTTTTGGACTGTTTGCTCTGAGGAAGTGGACAGAGTGCTGTCTAGACTATCCATTGTTACATGTAACTTGGACCCCTTCCCATCCTGTCTATTGTGAGGGGTGGTTAAAGGAGCATCCATATGAATCCATGAGCCTGTTACCACACTCTTACATTTGGGTCAGGTCCTGGCTGCCAAGAAGAAAGCAATAAGCACTACCCTTGCTAAAGACAATGATTCTCCGAACATTCTCTATCCCATAGTCTTAGATAAATATTGTCTGAATTCCAATATTCATTTTCTGGGGAATGTCACTGAGATGGATGTTCTTCAATCTGGGCTCAGGCTCTCATTTGGACTGAGACAGCATTCAATTCCCTTTGCCATTTTAGACCTCTAGGCAGCTTTTGGATATTATTGATCATAGTACCTAACCAGGTGACTCTGAGCTTTGTGAAAGTTTTTGTTTTAATTCTTTTAATGCTTCATTATAACATCTGAGAGTGTAAGATTGAGTTGAAATAAAAACTGAATAAATACAAGAATAGATAAAAATTCAAAAAGAGCATTTTTATGAATTAAATGTTTACAGTCATATGCTTTGCTCTAAATATTTGCTTGTGCATGTTTATAGAATCTTCAAATCAATGAGTGATTTCTCAGTAAATATTTACAGCTGCTCTAGCTCGCAAAAATATGTAAAACCAATAATGAAATATATATCTTTTGAAAAAAACTTTCTTAAGGCATTTATTAATGCATTTTTTCATTTATGTTGCAGAGTTAAAAATTCTCCCCTTAAACAGTCTCCGGGATACCAAACCGAGCTAGTTATCCAGTTAGTATGGGTGAGTGGTGAACCTCCTCAGCAAATAACAAGTCTTGCAATCAACTCTGCCTATGGATTGTAAGTGAACTGGTTTTACATTTTATCTCACTCAGATACTATATTAGAAAATCAATTCAATATTTTATCTCAGACAAATTTTAAATGAACTCAGTAATTTTTATCCAGGTACTTTAAGATCATATGTAGCTGTGTTAATCTACTGGTATATATTACGGTAGTGCTATAGTCTTAGTCTAGAGTCCCCTTAATTACAATAACAACCTATCGCATTTCTGTATAATTAGTGGGGAAAATAATTATTGATGTAAGGTGTATGTGGCATTTTTTTTTCAGAAAAGATTATTTGCTTTAAAAATAAGGCACACCTTTGTAAAATTAATTAAACCCACATTTATACATGCCAATGTACATATATTTTCCTTACAGAACAAATGTTTAAAAATAGAAATTTAAAGAAGTATGAATGATGTAAGGATGAAGAGGAAAGTGTAACTGCACTAGGAAGGGAATGAGAAAGAAAGAAAACAAAACTGAATGATAATAAGATGAGGGGAACATGTACAGTACAGGAGAAAAAGGGAATGCTTGTTTAAGCATTAACCCTAGAGATAGGGTTAAAAATCACTAGATAAGCAATCCTAGCTGCTGGCTAATCTTCAAAGACATCCTTACATTTTAGCAGAGATGCCTACAGTTATTTGCATCTTTGTCCATTGCTATCTATTCAATATTCTGTAAGAAGCCTCTCAATTCACATGGAATTATTTGGGGTGAAATGTCGTTCTTTTAGGTATCATAAATAGTATTTATTCATATTGCCCAATTTGATTGGTGTTGTATCTGTTCATAATTAATTTTGTGAAGCTGTCTACATTTCTAGAAAATGTCAGCCAAAATATTCCCATGGCATAGCATAGTATTAATATTTTGTCTGTATTTTTAAAGTCATTGCTGTTTAATAAATTAAGACAGCCAATGTGGAACTTATAATTTTTTTCATAAAATAATGAAAGGTTGATGTCAAAAATCTATGACTGTAATCAAATATTTATTTGTTTGATATGTTGCTACGTTTTAGTCAAAAAATAGAATAGAAACTGATAATGATGAAACTGTATTCTGGAGCTCTAGCTAAAGGGAAATATTTGCAAAAATTAAAATCTTTGATGAGAGAGTAAGAGCACCAGAATGTAAGAAGAGCAGGAAACCTTGGGGAAGAGGCTGATATTCAGATCCTTAAAATAAATCCATGTTACTATTACTAAAGTAATTTTTCAGTTACTCTTTTAAATGTGCATATTGGAAAATTAAGATAGAAAGTAGAAAACATTCATCTGAAATATGTTTTTTCCAATAACTCTTTTCCAGAGTAGTTTTTGGTAATTGTAATGGTATTGCAATGGTTGATTACATTCAAAAGACCATGCTTTTAAACCTTGGCACTATTGAATTGTATGGCTCTAATGATCCTTATCGGAGGGAACCTCGATCTCCACGTAAAAGTAGACAACCATCTGGAGGTAAGGGGCTGATAAAAATGTATACTTTGCTTTTTAGAAGTATGGATTATTAGGTTTTTCTTTGAAAATGACAAGTAATCAAAAGTAGATAGCAGTTACTTAGATAGTAGGATTTTCTTCTAGAAAACGTCCCTTGTTGTTATGGACAGACTTACTCTTATGTAATTGTTAGGACACTAACACCTTTTTCAATTAAACAGTATCAATTTATCATATTCTGCTCATTATTTCCAAATTCTTCCTCATGGATTTCTATATGTAAATTTCTGAACTAATTACTTCAGTCATAAACCCAACGCTTCTCTCATCTTTTTTTTTAATTCCATACTTATTATAGTATATTAAATTTAATTGGCTAAAAAAAGTCAACAGTTTTTCTGTCATTAGGAGTGTGGCCTGTGTCTGAACAGACAATTCTGGAAATGCTGGACACTATTCACTAGGATTGGGCAGCTGTTGATACCTTCTTAAAGTAGCTCTCTTTACACATGTTTGTAAGTCTAGGATAGGCATGCTACAATTAACAGGAGTTGCCATGGGTTTGCCACAACTAAATCATGTGAGTTTAACTTTGTTTCCTTCTTTGATAGAGTTACTAACTTTGTAGACATAATGTACAGTGTCTTAGTAGGGTTAGACGTTGGCAAGCTTTCAAAAGAGTACTACGTGATATTTCATTTATAAAACAGTAAAACAGTAGCTGGGCCCACAGTTGTTTGTATGATTTCTCGAAAGATTGATCATTAACATTTCTGCTTGGAGGGTGATATCAATTGAAGTGTCAGAGAGCACTGTCCTAGTCTCTATGCTGCTCAACCATTTTTTTTTTTTATTAATGACTTGGATGAGATTGTTTAGAGAACATTTGTCAGGTTTGTAGATGATTCCAAACTAGGAGTAGGAGTAGTAGTTTAGATGAAAGAAGATTCAAAAATCTATACAATATTGAACAGTTAGGCCGAATGGAATTAATAGAATGGAATTTAGTGGGCAGGAAAATTAAACTTGTAAATCCAGATAGGCAAAACATACAGAATGATGAAGATTTTCCTTGGCAGTAATACATGTAAAAAGGATCTGAGTGTTCTTGTTGATTACAAGTTAAATTCAGCCAGCCGTAGGGTACTGTTGCTAAAAGGGCAAATGCTATTTTAGGATGCATTAACAAAATAGGCTCTGGATCATGGGGAGTAATTATTAACTCTACTCTTGCCCTGGTCAGATCCCATTTGGAATACTGTCTAGTTAAGGGCATCGCAGTTCAAAAAGGATGGTGACAAATGAGAACAAGTTCAGAGAAGGACTTCCAAAATGGTGAAGTATCTGGAAGTCAAGCCTTAAAGAGTCAGCCCAGTAGAAAAGATGACTGAGAGATGATAGCAACTTTCAGATATCACATATAAACAGGAATAGACTTTTTTTGGTTGGCCCAGAGGACAGGACCAGAACTAATGGTTTTTTCAAAGATTTTATAGTAGCTCTATATTGTGATCAACTGAAGTAATTGTATAAAAGTGTATTTGTAGCTTACTCCTAGGCAAATAATAGAAATCAGTAGCAGATTCTATTTCTAATATATTTTACTCAAATCAAGTCCTTCTGTAGATTTTCCTGGCTTCAAATGCAAAATGTTGGTGTTTTGTCTTTTCTTTTTATTGCTTCACTAAGGCATGCTGGCTGTTGTTTCTTGCATGTGTGGCCACTCTAGCTTATATTCAGACTCTATGAAAAACCTTCTCACTTCTAACATATGTAAGTTATCTAATGACAATGTAGTAGATTTAGGTTCAGCATAATTATTTGTGTGTCCTGAGATTTATTTTATGTTAGCACTTTTCTAACTGTTGTATGAACAAAAAATTGACTTTTATATTTACAAAGAAACATATTGTTATGCTTTTAGTGCAAGATAGATAATACACATGGTTCCTCCATATTTAGTGCATCTCTTTGTGCCAGTTACACTGTGATGCACTGTTTGGTTTACAGCCAACAGTTGCCAAACCTCACCAGCACTATTTAGGTATTACAGGTACCTTCTGGTATAGACTTTGGAAAGAGGCTATGAGAAACTGTCTAATCTCTTTACTAGCCAGTAAATAAGGTGCCTTTCAGATTCAGTATTTCTATCATAAATTTTCCTGCCATGTAACATAGTTCATTCTTGTCTCCTGGTACCAGATGAAAGTTAACTGTCGGATGAAAAAGGGAAAATTTAATTGTTGTTTTCAGTAATGCTATTTTCTTTTCTTTTCATAGCAATATCACTACAGATAGTTCTCAACTTATAACAGTTCATTTAGTGACCACTTTTTCAATGGTACTGAAAAAAATGACTTTACGACCGTTTTTCATATTTACGAGCGTTACAGCATCCCCGTGATCATGTGATCCAAATTCAGATGTTTGGCAGCTGACTCATATCATGAGAATGACAATGGCAGCGTCCCAGGGTCATGTCATCCACTTTTGCTACCTTCTAAAAGCAAAGTCAATAGGGAAACCAGATGTACTTAATAAACTATGTTACTAACTTAATTCATTTAACAACTGTGGCAAGAAATGTTGTAAAATGGGGCAAAATTCATTTAACAACTGCCTCACTTAGTAGCAGAAATTTTGGGCTCAATTGTGGTTATAAGTCGCGGACTACCTGTATATTGTCATTAATTGAACAGTATTATGTTTTTACGAACAAACATGCAAATAATGCTGCAGCTTTAAGCTAAATGCAAAGTAATTTCTTCCTACTGGATCCCTATGAATGAGGGATGGGAAGCCTATAAAGTCCACCATTTGGTGGTTATAGTTTCTCACCCTGCCATAATAGACCCCAGTTAGTATGTCTGCCATAAATCTCGGTCACATGGTAGTTTTCTTTCTTGATAGTCTCAAAATTGACTCTACTCCATTTGTATTCTCTCTCAAATTGGTCAACATATATCCTGCTAAGGGTTTGGATTCTTCTCTTAAGCATTATTAAATTTTTATCATCTCTTCCTACCCTCTTTGGTGAAATAAGGAGATGTCAATAAAGCAAGAACCCAGATTTCTTTGAAACCATCAAGAATTCACTAAGAGTTGCTTTTGCTCAAGAATGATTATTCTTCAAAAGCTTTCTTAATTGGGGAATAGCTTGTCAGGGCTTTCTTCCAGAGGGAGGAGCAATTACACATATTTGGCATAGTAACTTTGAATTTGTCAAATATTTTAAATTTTTCACAATAATTACAACAGGATGCATACTGAAATCCTTTTTATTAATATACTTCTATATCACTATGACTTCAAATGAAATAGGACACATAAATGCATTTTACCCCTCATATTGATCTTATACCAGTACAGGATATTCTACTGCAGAAATAGGAAGGAGAAGTAGATATACGAAGTACGAAAGAGATTATCTCAGGCTGCCTTTATTTTCTTAAGTCTAGTTTACAATATTTGATATTAGAGTAAAAATACCGAGTGAATTATTATATATAACTATATATTACACAATGTATATAGTTTCCAGAAAAGTAGAATTATTTACTCCTAATTTTTTTTTAACCTGAATTTTTAAAAAAGTGAAAAAAGTATTGGAAAGCAAATTTTGCAGGTGGTAAAAATCATTCCCACTGGTAATGATTGCAAAATTATAAAATGATTGTATATATTAGTTGCAACAAAAGAAAAAAAGATCCTTTCATCAAAAATGCTATGATAAAAGTAGTAAATTTTCACTCAATTCAAACATAGTAACTTCATCAAAGTTGTTTTTGTAGAAGTATGCCATAAAACAGCCCTTTAAAAAGTGACTAGAGTACTGTTCATTATTTATCTTGTACTGTCATGTCTGAATTATAAAGTTTTGGTCTTTTCCTACCCATTTTATTACTAGTAAAAGACATAAGGCTAAAAAACATAAGGGCTTGTGAAAATTACCAGTTAATGGGAAAACACAATTGGAATAGTCTATAGGAATATACTATGAAGAAAAAGAGCATTTCTCTTCCAGTATGAATATTGCTTCCAGTATCTATTCTGACTTTCTGCAGGAATTTAAGGCAAGTTACTTGGAGGTTCTCCTTCAATTTGTCTCCACAGCAACAGAGTAATGCAGTTGGTTGAGCTGGATTTCAACTGGGTCATTCCAATCCTAATACAGCAGTTTAACCAATGCACGGTGCTATTTTTTGTTCTAGTTCTACAGTTTTACCTCAGCATCTCTCATACTACAACCCACTCATCTCCAATTTTATCTATGGACTGCCAGCATCTATTTCATTTTTGTGCTGGGTTCAGTTTTAATCTTTTAGGGGTATATTGAAGATGAGTTTTTGATTCCTGTGTTAGAGATAGTATCCCCATTATTAAATTGCTTAATAGGCTTTCCATCTGGTTTTAATCAGCAAAAACTATTTGACCCTAAGTGTGTAAACTATATTATATACAACTCATTAAATTGTAATTGATACTGCTTTTTCGCAAATGTAGTATTTAATGAAATTAAAAGGGTTATAATAGAAATGAAGCATAAACTATTTCTGTCTTTTCCAATCTGTTATCTTTCAACACATTTGAATGTTTCAAATGGAGAAAACAAAGTTTATGCTTTCGTGATGAAAGGAAGTATGGCTTATTCTTCCTTGTATTTGGAGAGGCCTGGCCAAATTCCATTATTAGAATTATTTTTAATGACTGTGTAAACCAAATGAGAGTCTTTAATCACAGTAACAACTGTTGTATCTTTCGCAATTCAAGAAGTATCATTGCACTATGAACAATTTATGTTTTAAGGGTTTTTTATATTTAAAATGCACAATTGAGTTTCCCTGGGACAATATATAATAAAAGTGAAGTATTACTATAATACAAGGCTCTCTAATAGTTTGGCTTGGGGATTCATTTGAAATTTTTAGAAGTATCATACATGCCATTATAAAATGAGTGACAGTGGATGATTGGTCATTCATGAAATGCTACAATAATTGATTTTATAAAAAGGTTACTTCAAGGCTACAATAAAAATAATGTGAGACCCTGAATAAATAGCATAATTGATGCTTGGGCCTTTCAAATAGAAACTTGGTTGACTTAGGATTTTCTTCTGTATGACCATCACCAGATGCCACCCTCATATGCCAAATCCTCTGACAGCATAATTGAATCCAGAAGAGACTTTTTATGTACACTATGTCATGCGCACATATTTCTACTTACCTATCTTGATGATTTTTGTCCTTTCATTTTCTCATCTTGATTTGTTCCACCTGCCTCCCTCACCTCCTCATAGCTCCTCATAGCCTTTTTCATTTTCTTTCCCTGGCTCCATCTGATCATCTACATCGTTCCCCTGGTGTTTTGTCACACATGAGTTTTCCCTTCAATTACCAGTCTGGTCTGTACTTTCTATTGGGGCAGGGAGGCAATCGGGACCTACAAAATGTCTTTTGGGGAAGCACTGTTCACTTCAATATGCTAATCATCTGTCCTCTAACATGGAAAAGTCTTTTACAAATCAGTTTGCAAAACTTTGACAAAAATATGCTATCCACACACAGTATTTGTGAGTATAAAGAGAAAGGAAAGATAATGTCAGAGACAGAAAAGGGAGTACTGGGGGTTAGAGATTAAAAAGGTGTTTTTAAATTAAAACAGTAGTTTTCCAGGATGGAGATTTCTGGAGTTTTAAATTTAAAAAGTGGAGAGTGGTTATTCTGTTTCATTTGCTGTTTGTACTATAGATTGTATTATATTTCAGATTAATCATGTGCAGCTGCACTTTATATACTTATTACATTTATACACTTGGTCTCAATAAACAAAAATCTTGTGTATTTTATTTTTCAAATTAAATCTTGTTAAAAATCTGAAAAAAGTCTATTGTATGCTTTCTGTTTTACAGCAGGTCTTTGTGATATCAATGAAAGTACTACAGTACAAGAGGATCGTTGCAAGTCACCCACTTCAGGTAATTAATTAAACTTGCAAATAGTTTAAATAATACTTCAAAATGCTATATGACCTGAGGAGAAGTGTTCTTTGATTTTTGGGTTCCAGAAGGTACTTCACAATGAACTTCACAATGATTTTTCATATATACAGTTCAAGCAAGTATGTGGTCCTGTTAATATCTTTGTCAGGTGAAAAGTTGGTCCTTGATTTAATATACAAATTATCCTTATACCATATCCATTTTTATGTACTTATAATTTATGTATATTATTGGCAACAAAAAATAATTACATTATGTAGGGGAAGTGTTTTAATTATCTGGGACTATGAGTTTAGATCCCAGAAATTTCAAGCATTGTTTTTCTAATCATAGGCAAATGTGAAATTTGTTCCATCATTCTATTGAGAAGCATAATTTCTTTAATCATAAATGAAAGTTTGCAATTGAGTGTGATAATTTACTTTGGCATAACTTCAATTTATATATGAATGATATGATTTTTATATAGAAGACATCCAAGATTTTATCACATATATATTAATTCTGGAAGTTAAGATGTAACGATCAGAGTTAGGGTATAGAATAAAAACAAAAAGCCGTGATGATATCAAAAATATTCATAATTGGGTCAGCATATAAAATGATTATTTGTAATATGTTCCTTAAATATATGAGTGTAATGATATCTTTATCAATTTAAATTTTAATGGTGGTAGCAATCACTTACTTCATTCTATTCTATCATTTTTCCTGTAGCCTGAATTATTATAGTGACAGCAATCTGAGATGCAGGGAGGGAAAGGCATACCAAAGTACTATAAAAGGATCCACTACTGGTAGGAAGGAGTTTAGGAATTAGTAGAAAATTTGAAAAGAAAAAGAAAAAAGATCACACTGCCATAGATGGTGTAATTTGGAATAATTGCAGGGTCTTCATAATTTTTTAAATGTATTTATTTTAAGAAGAGTCCCTTACTTATTTGAGCTTAATTGCAATCTTACCCGATATTGGAGAACAGTTAGCTATCATTTGAAAGAAGGAAATAAAGCATACTCCAAAATTCAACATAGATTCTTAGAAAGAAGTAGTTCAAAGTAGTATTTCCATCAGGTCTTGTTATTTTTAGGAGTAATTTTACAGGTAAGAAAAATATTATTTCTTAAGAAGTTTTGATATATAGGAAAGCTTTAAATTTTGTTTAAATGCTCCTGAAGAAATAGTAAATACAAGTATCCTTGTATTTTCATTTTTTTGCATGAGTCATCTCAATTTAGATAGGATCGCAATTTCTAATGGTAAGTCATCCTAGAGAATGTAATTGAGTTTTTTTCCCCTTGTTACTAACATACAAATCCTAACCTAACCATTGAATGTGTACTAACTCAATTTTATTAGCCAATTCTGTTACTCTTCATGGCTTCTATAGATTACACTAATGAGATTTGCCCTGTGCAGATGTTCTGAGAAGTTCTCTAAATGAGCTTTTTTAAAAGCAGGAAACTCATATAAATTAATCACTGTGCCCAATTTTTTTTTCGGTTTCTCTTCTACAGGTAATAGAAAAATCATTCTGCTTTGAAATGAAGAGCGTCACTTTATAATTTACTATTCAATAAAACTTTCACTGATCTATTTTCAGTCTTTATTTATTTATTTTCTTTTTGATTTAGATTGACTACATATATAATTTACCATTGGAATTGAAAATATAAATTATATTGTCTGTCATTATGCACTATGAACTACTTTGTTAAACATAAAACAGTTTTGTCAAATTTTATTTTTCTTTACAGTATTAAGTAAATATGTATCTGCACTTGTTTAATAGATGGAGTTAGATTACCTTTCATTGGGAAATGAATACTTTAGCCAAAATAATGTTATGTGTCTGATTGAAAACATAATGACATGGTGACATAGGAAATACAAAGTTGTCTATGAAACTCAGATCCTTTTACAAATTCTGTGGGCATCAAAGGGGTGAAGGAGGTATAATTGGAGAGTTCAATGTTATATAGACTTTCTTACCAGTACAAAAAAATTAAATACAAAAGTTATCCATTCTGATAGTATATATTTTAGACTATTATTTCATTTGATGCAGACTAGGACATTGTGTCCTTTCCTTATTTTTATAATCTGTTCCAATTCCTTGCCTGTATGTATTTTGTTTTGAACCTCTTTATATTCCTTTCATTCTTGTCTTCACTCATGTAGGTTCTGGTTCCCCCAACAATTCTGGTGATGAACAAAAAATGAATAATTTTATAGAAAAGGGTATAGTATTTTTATTTCTAAGAGTATAGTATTATTGATTTCACTAGCTTATCTTTTTAGTAAATTGACATTTTCTATCAAAACATTATTTGCAGTGAAAACCAAAAGCAGAAAGTTTTCCAAGATGATAGCCAGTGATATAGGTAGGAACTAGACAAAAATATCCTTTGCTCCTTCCTGGCACTTTATTCTATGCAGCGCTTAATTCAGTTGTAAAACAAAGCAAGCTGCAGTGCATTACTATTAAATTAATACTCTCCTAACCATTTATTTGCTTATTTTCTAAAATACTTCGCTTTGTTATTTAATCAAGGAGATGGGCTCTTAATTTTTTTCTAATTTTATGCACACATTCCTCCTCCAAAAAAATGGCTTCTGGTTTAAAATATTGAAGAAGTTCAATCGTGTAAACATTACTGCATAAATCATTTGTAACTTGGTCCTCTTGAATAGATCTAATTATGTTGAAATGAATAGATCCTCTCCTATTTTAAGAATAAAAGCATGACACATTTTTATCTCTGAATTGCTGCTAACCAAACTAATATAATTGACAATAAGTTGAAAATTGTAACATTTGCAGTACATGTGAATGATGATTGAACCCTTCTATTGTAAGGATGTAACTATGGTGAATGATGAATTAACATACAGGAGAGACAGGAATACTTTCTTGCTTGGATATGGTTATTTTGCTTTTTAACTTTTATTTTAAAGTATATAGATACTGGTTTTCTGTTTAAATTAAAGCTATAATTCTTTGGCCATTTATCTGGGAATATTTAATTGAGTGGTGCTCACTTGAGTATATATTACATTATTGCACTGTAAAGGCTTTTCTTTCCTATATTTCAGTTTCTGTCATTTTTACTTCTATGATTTTAGTAATTATCTAAGAAGATATATATGTTTGCATAGAACTTGGCTCGTTCTAAATTTCTCTTTTTATAGCACATTTGATAAGTTATCTCTTTTCTTTTAGATAATGTTCAAAGAATTTATATATATTTGGTTGCATATTTGATAAAACTATTGACTAATAACTTCCAGCTTTTGAGTGAGAGTGTTGAAATCAGTGACTTTCTTATCTTATAGTTCTTCTGAAATTAGAATTCAGTAAGTTCATGGTAATGGGTATTATAGCAGATAGTTTGGAAAAATACATTTTTAAATCATATTAATGGCATTGAATAAACATTTGTTATATTTCATTTTGAAAAGGTTTATACTATAATAATAACCCAACCAGATAGATACATTTATGTTGTACTAGAAGTGTAAAGTAGATTTTAAAATTGTATTATATGTTACTTTAGGAGCATCAATATTAGGTTCTTTTGGGTGTATCCTGTGCCATTCAGATAATGCTACAACTGAGAAAGATGGACAAATCTGATAGGAAATACAGTAAATTCAGTAGTTCCAATGCAATACAATACTTATAAAACAATAAAAAATACCTAGTTTTAATGTGTTGGTTTCCATTAGTCTGGTGTCATCTACAATTAAAATAAAACTCTTCAAAATAAACACACTTATGATTACTTGCAGCAGTTGCTTTGACTAAATAGCAGAAAAAAATAAAAATTACTCATTCTGTTAAATAATATCTAAAGGGAGAAGTAGTCCTGGCCACATAATTATTCCAGAAAAATAGTTGCAAACTAATATTTCTGGAGGGGGAAAGAAAGAAGAAACTTTTTTCCCCACAAAAAGGAATTTACATTTTTCCTGAAGAATTGGGGGGAATTAATCTGGACTGAAGAATTGGGGGGAAAGGTAAATTATTATTTTATTTTTTTAGAATTATGAAAAAAATGACAAATTTTCTAGATATTGGAAACTTTTGTATTCCACCAATGATGCCTAATATCAATGCAACTACAAGCCTTTTCTGTACTGAATTATTTCAGTTCTATGCTTCGGACACATAGTCCTCTTAAAATAAGAGTTGGGATTATTGTTCTTGGGAAGTGGTGGGGGGATATTTTCATTTTCATAAGAGAAGAGAAAAGGATTAATTGCTTTTTTGTCTGACTCCTTATCTGTTTTCCTGCTTTCCTAAGTAGGTCTCAGAGGACTAAGTTTGCAGTGAAAAACAAGAAAATGATTTCTTGATTCATGTAAGTTAGGGAAAGTTAGAAGGTGCACTCTGTTCCACTGTTTGCTCTTCAGATTCAAAATATATCACCGCAAATGTAATAGTTTGGAAAGAAAGCATCATATTTTTGTTGAAAGATAAAATGTTTACTTTCAGTGTATTGATCTTATTTTAGTTCCATTAGTACTTTGTAAATACGGGTTTTTATTAACTTATTATTTAATGGAGAAATAATACAGGGATAATATGTTTGACTACAAAAACATTAATCAGTAAATCAAGATTTATATAGCATGTTTTATGTTTCATAGCACCACTTTATATTATTAAATGGTGGGGTTTTTTACTTTTTTCTCCAGGGTCAAAATTAAACAAGATTTATTTCAAGATTAAAAATCTCTAGAAATGCTTAAATTCATATTCTATCAAAAAGTGCTTCCTACAACTACCAGCCTCGTGAAGTTTTATTTTCAGAAAAAAATATCTTTCATTTCCAGAGAATGGTTGGCAGTTTCAAATGCCATAAGGAAGTTCATTAAGATTTACAAATGAATGCTAGTTTCTCAACACTAGAGAAGTTGACTGTATTTCCTCTTGCCATTCAAAACAGATGTAGATACAGTAGAATTCTCCAAACTTCCTGTTAACAAGAAGGTGGGAAAGCAAATCTAAGCAAGAGGAATATCTAGTTCAGTTTGTACCCTAGTTGTAACAAGCAACTTCAACAAATAAAAAGTTTTTATCTGCAAATGTCTGTCAAAAATGATAAACTATGCAATGTGATTTTGTTCCTGTATAAAATGAGGAAAGCATTGGATTAAATCTTAGTTTCTATAATAAGTGGAACAAGACAGGGGGGTCAGTTTGACAAATGATGTTTTGGAGCCAAATTAGTCCAAACAGTGCATGGTTGTATTTAACACTAGTTGAGTAAAGTTGAGGGGGGGGGGGGAATAAAAGGGTCAAATGGGCATTGAATAGTCTTGCATATAAAATTTTAAAGCAATAGATTTTAATAAACTTTCTATTGTTAATAAAATTATTATATACACAACAGTGTGAAATCTCTGCTTCCAGTACTTTAGTTGGTATGGCCTTCCTATGCATCAAGTTCTCCCAAGAATCTAGGACTTTGTAGCGTATCAGCGTAATAATGTGTTCCAAGTAGTGTTATCTTTTGTAATTGAATGATGGAAATGTTTCTAGTGTGCAGATTTTCTAAGTGCCATAGAAATTTACATTTGTCAATGAAAAAATTACAGACTTATTTATTATAATATATACGATCCATATATATGCACACACATCATATATATTATAATAAGTGTTTAATTTTTAATTGACAGATGGAAATCTAATATATGATATATAATTATTATTATGTCAGTATTTAGGATTTAGATGGATGACTTACATGTTATGCTATTGGTGACTATTTAATTTTTTTCTACTTTGTGGATTGTGTAGAATTTGCCCTGATAAGCACTTTTAATATATATTGATAATAATTCAATACCAAAATTCTTTTAATATATTGGGCATAATAAAGTCCTTGTCAAATAGGCCTTTCTGCTTACAGTGGATTGCAGTTTTAAAAAGGGAATGACACTGTTGATTAAAATTACTCAGATTATTATTATACCATAGGATGTGTTTTAAGTGAAACATAAGTGTACCTGCTATTTCCAAGTGTGGATAAATCTAATCAGATTATATTATTATTATCATTATTATCATTATTATTATTATTGACTATTGTCAATACTTTTTGGTTTCATTTATTAGAGATTATTTGGCCATGTGTAAACTTTTTACTGGTTATTGTGCAGTATACTTGAATATTTACTAATGGATGAGGTAAAGCTACAATTTTTAATAGGAAAAAGAAGGAGAAATGTTGTATACTAATTATAATTTCCAGTCTTCAGGTTTCTAATGTCTATAGAAATTTAGCCTTTTTAAACTGTTTGTGTGGATTCAAGTTTGCATGGACCTGTGTTGCTGTCTTTGTCTGTCTTCAAGGTGGTGAAAAGATTTCCATTGTGGATTTTGACACTCCCCCAAAAAATAAAGAGATAATTGTATTAAATTCTGTACACACTATATTTAATAAGGATTAAGCTGCCTAGATGCTTAATTTAATACCAGAGACTGTGTTAAATTCTACAACTATTTTCAACTATATTTTAAGCTAACAACATATAAAGCAATATACATAATATAATACAAACTGTGATTTTACATAACATAAAACAATAATTTTACTCCACTTACCTGTAAGCCAAATTAATTACTCTAAAGCAAAAAAGCAGTAGGAAATAACAGCCTTGGAAAGCTCCAGCCCCCAGGCCTTTTATTAGCATAATTTGTATTTTTTGAAGAAGAAGGGAAATTGATAGAACTTCCTGGAAACAGTTCAATAATTCCAAGGATGCTTGATGAAAAGGATATGTTTATAGTAGCTACAGTAGCTACGATTATGTTACAAGGGTTTTTCATTTAGATTCTTTTAAAGCTTTCTGACTTTAGATTTTAGCCACTATAGTGTATTTAATATTTTATTTTCCTGCAAAGCATGGCCTTGTCTTATTTATTGATGTAAAACATGTTCATTTTATTTATTTATTTTTTAAAAAGCTGTATCACAAGATGCCTTAAGAAACAGTTTTATTCTTAGCAACTACAAGCTTTAAGGGATAAATCTTGTATTACATAACCAAATAATTGAATCCTCTTTATTCGGGTCATATCTGTCCTCAATAATAGGGACATAATGTCTCTTTGAAAACCTCTTTTCCTTTTCCCTACACAAGTTAGGAGTAAGAATACTGGGACAAAGCGTTGTCATTGGAAAAATAATGCTCACTCATTCCAATGCTTGCTATAGCTGTCAGAAAGCATCATTTATAAATATGCTAGCAGTTTCTCCCGTAGTATATCTCTAATAGCCTTGTGTAGCCCTATACCCTTTGTGGTGTTTTAAGTATAATTCTGAAACTTTCTAACATTCGGGGGCTTTTGGAGGCTCAATCTCCTGGCAATTTTCTGTGATCTTTGCCATTTTAGAATTGAAATATTTGGGACAGAATATTGTCTGTAAAAAGATATTTAAATAACTTTGGCTCCATCTTGATTTGTATTGATTAAACATGTATAAATCAGAATATATAAATCAGAATATCTAATGTGCCACAATAAAGACATTTGAAAACCTAATAATTTTAAATATTAGTATTTTTAATTTGCTTTAATTAAAAAAAAAAGTAATTGTCATACTCTCATTGCACCTTTGTAATTAAACTTTTCATAAATATTTGTTTACATACACATACTTCCTTGCTTAGAACTAATATATGAATTCTGAATTTGAAAACTGACAATTTTAATTATTTCATATTCTCTGAAAATATGATCATTCTAGTTTTATTACAAAACTATACATTATTTTTCAGCAAAGATGTCTAGAAAATTAAGCTTACCAACTGAACTGAAACCTGAGTTAGGTAAGTATTTGTTCAAAGCCTGTATTAATGGTGTTTATAGTCTTTCAAAAGGCTATAAAATACACCCTGTGTATTTTGAAATTTCACACATCTAAGTAGGGAAAATTTCCATTTTTCATTGTTCAGTTCCAAGATTTGATGCAGTGCATGCTTACAATTTCTTTGTCCTCAATTTGGAACTACTTTTATGTTCCTCTTTAAAAGCCATGAAAATCTCACCCACAGAAGTATAATTTTGTTCATAGTTTATTTTTTAATTTTCATAATTTATACTATTACTTTCAATAGAAATCAAGAATATAAGGAAATCATACATAAATTTCAGGAATAAATAATAGTAAGTAATTAGGTGGAAAATGCAAATACAAATCTCTCTTTAGCCATAAATTTGGTGGAGAGAATCAGCTTTCTGGGGTGACGTTATCCCATGTTCCATACATTAAAATAATGGAGAGAATCATATGTATAATACACCCTTTTTTGAGAAATGGCAGGATAAAAATATAATTTCAGACAATTTTCATGAAAATTATTTTATACATGGTACATGGTATGTAAACCTATATTTTATTGTTAACCTAGTACTTATGGAGAACTCTACTAATCTCTTGAAATGCTATTTTGCCCAGAAAGTGCTTCTTACAAACTATTTTATCCTATAAAGCAAATAAAAATACATAGAAACTTAGTCAAAAGAGGCTGAATACACCAGTTTACCTAATTTTCTATTTTCGGTTTTATATAAAACACTCAATTTTTGTTCATGGTAAAATTTTATATGAATACTTTAGTAATTCTTCATCAATTCTTTTTTTTTTATTTAAAAAGCAAAAACAATTTATAAAACGCTATTCTAAAAACATGCTGACTATATTGTAACAAAACATGCAAAACATTTTGATATTAAGAGGGACCAAGAATTCTTACAGTTCTAAATATATAAGATCTGGACAATGAGTATAATCAGAAATCTCTTTCTGGTAACATAACCTTTTCTATTGGAAAAAATGGGATTGGGATTGGGAGCAATCCAAACCTTTAGAAAGCCTCAAAATCTTTTCTGGAAATTTTAGAAAGTTTCAGAACAGATTTGTGGGATATATTTGAGTTTGTAGGTGAGGAGGACAGTTATAAAAGAGCTATATTGTACAAGGAAAGGGTAGCATCTGTTCATGAGGCATTGGACTATTTTTACTTGGGTCAGTCTATATCCAAAAAGTTCAGCATACTCTTCTGATTTTCCATTTTCACTATATTTTTAAAAAGTGAAACAAATAGTACTTTTTAGAGTTTATTAATGTAGAGTGATGAGTGTATCCAAAAAGATCCTTAATTTTTTAAGGCATATTTAGTTTCTTTTGAAACACACTAGAATTGCCCCATCAAATATTGCTTATATAGTTGAGAATATATTTATAGCTGTATCCAATTGTCTGTTCTATATATTAAAATTACAGTTTTGAAAAATATTAAATTTACAACTTAGGTTAAGGCAGTAATAAATAGTATAATTAAATATTCACAAAACCATCCCTATGCAAAGTTTTCTCAATTGGCATACTCTTGCCATAAGGACCCCACATGTGTTATTATTGCGCCTACTATATAATATAATATATACAATATAGCTCACTAGAGTAAATAACTTTTTAACCAGTATGTTCTCTAAAATTATCAGTCTACTTCCTGAAGATTAGATTAGAAATTTACAAGACAGACTCTAATCTTTAAAATGATATTGAAAAGATGGTGAACAAATAACTTGCTACTTCCCTTCCAATAACTTCAAATAGATTTTTCACATGAATTCTTTTTAATTATGCTTCGGTACATTTACTATATTTTATCACAATCTTAATAGCCTTTACTATTCTGTAAACATATCTTCTCCAATCTCATCATCTTTAAAACCATATTCAGTAGGTTATGTGGTTGATTGTTGTTGATACATGCTTCAGTATCTGGATTTTTATTTTCTTCTGGATAACTATGCTTATTTTGGTTTTTGTCTGTGCTGTTTCCAATAATTAAACATTCATATAATTATTTCCTTTTTGTATCACTGATTGAAATCACTGAAATTAGGTTAAAATACCATCATAATGACTGTTCAACAATAAAACTGGAATTTATAGTTTGGTATTTGTGTGTATGTATGTGTCAGAGAGGCAGATTTGAAAGAAGTTTTCCATTCCAGTGTGCTGCATCTAGTTTTCATCAAAATAAAAATGGCTGCATATATTTGAAGTAGTATATCATGTATAATATAACATTTATTTTTGAGAAAAGTATAATGGTAGCTACTCTCCTGTTCAAAAATATAACTATGTAGTATGACCTAAGTATACCATACATGTCTAGGGTTCACTACTGGATTTACAGTTCACAGAGAGCTATAGTCAGGTACCTGTCTAATGAATGTGCTTCTACATTTCCAATCTTATGTACTTCAGGTATACAATCTTAAGCGTATCCCTAAAAATGTAATTTCTGATATAAACCTAATATTACTGAGTTGAGATTTTGGAGGTGGATATACTATATGTAATATGTTCTGTAAAGTATGAAATAGAAACAACAATGTTGTATTGCAGTATGTTTAATTAATGCAAAATCTTTCAGATGTTAGAGACAATTCCTTCAGCCGATCCAGAAGTTCTAGTGTAACCAGCATTGATAAGGAATCCCGAGAAGCAATTTCAGCTCTCCACTTTTGTGAGACCTTCACCCGAAAAGCCGATACATCACCTTCACCATGCTTGTGGGTTGGGACTACTTTAGGCACCGTTTTAGTCATTGCACTGAATTTACCGCCAGGAGGAGAACAAAGACTGCTTCAACCAGTAATTGTTTCCCCCAGTGGTATGTATTTAACAAGAAACAATGCACTAGCAAGACAATGGTTTTACTATTATTGACTGATTATTACTGTGTATTATTAGTTCTCATTCTGCAATAATCTACAGAGAAGTCTCTTTAGTTATTTTTTTAGAAAAATTTGAGAGGGGAAATACAAGGTTTGGCTGATTGTTTTTGATCAGCATGCATTTCATTAGAAAAGGGAAATTGTCATAAATGTCCCTTCATTTAACCTTTTTTTTAAAAAAAGATTTCACCAGCTTGGTTTTGGGAAGTACATATTTACTTTAAATTTGGACTTTAAAGACTTTTTAAAAATAAAATCTTAAATATAAAAGGCAGGTCAACAAACCACAAAAGCCTTAAAAATAAAAATACCAAATAATCACTGTAAAATTTCACTGTAAAACACATTAAGAAAAAAAAATGTAAATTAGATAAGGAAGAACATTCTAAGAATTCCGTGTGAAGTCTTTTCTCCTCGAGAGATTGTCACTACTGATTGTTATTTCACACACATCAGCAGAAATACTGCAGCATGGCACCAATCCTTTGTTGGTCTATTAAGCCTCTGGCTACCTATCTCTTCCTAATCATATGCCTCTTTGGCTGCTCTGCATAGCAGCAGCACTGGCAGGGGCTGAAATAGAGGCCCAGGGCCTTCAACTGTCTCAGCCAGTTGCCACCACCCCAGGCCTCTCCTGTACTTCAACTCCAGCACAGCCACTGCCACTGAGAAATGCCACTTCAAGCCTATTTAGATTGTGAGAGTAACTGGGAACCAGTGTTTCAAGCTTATATCAAGGAAATCCACCTACCTCCTAAGAAATAATGCTGCATTCTATATTTCAGATTTTAAGAAACCTTTAATTTACATACATATAAGCAGTGTAATATCATTTTTTAATGTGTGCCGGTATGTTCACAGAAAAAACAGACAACAAAGGTTATCTTGTCTATCTTATAAAAGTTTCCTTTAACAAGAAGTAAACTGATTAGAAATTCATTTTTGTGTTTATGAATAGCTATCTAGGTTTCTAATGGTTTTGCAGTTTAACAATTATTTTAAATACTTCCAATTCAGAAATTTCTGTTTCAAGTGTTATGTCTGACATGCATGTAGTCTATTATGAATGGAATATATACTAGAGCAGTGGTCCCCAACCTTTTTTGTATCAGGGACCAGTTTCACGCAGAAACACTTTTTCAAGGACCCGGGGGGGGAGGAGTCCGAGTTTGGTGGTTTTCTTGCAAACCACGTTTCATTACCTGACTAGGTAACATCTGATGTTGTTACCTAGTCGGGTAATAAAACGTCTGCCAGCAAACCACCAAGTTCAGGGAGCGCCAATGCCTCCTCATTGCAACCCTGAGTGACAGATATTCTCTTCTATTGGGACATTTAAAACGGACGGTTTCAGCTGCAGATTCAGGAACTGCGCCTGGCTGAGGAGCGCCTTCAAAACAGCACTGGGCGGCGGCGGCCCACGCCTGTCTCCGCGGCTCAGGACAAGTCCCTGCAGGATGGCTGAGAAGCCCCACCTCTCGGCCCTGCCTCCCTCAGCCTCATCCCTCAGGTGTCTGCCTCGTTCCTCTCTCAGTCGCTCTCTCGCTCCTCCACCAGCCCAGGAAGAAACTGCTTCAAAGAAGCCGGCAGGGTGGCTTTTCCTGTCGGCGCAGCTCTTCCGAAGCTCCCGTTCACCCCCATCCCGCCACCCGCGGTTCAATCCAGTGCTCCGTTCTGCCTGCCTGCCTGCCTGCCTGCCTTCGTTTCTGGTGGTTTTGGAGCAGCTTCGGCTGAGTAAAAGAGGCGAATAGTTATTATTCTCAGCCGAAGCTGCTCCGAAACAACCAGAAACGAAGGCAGGCAGGCAGAACGGAGCACTGGATTGAACCTGGATTGATTGGCGGCGGGGTGGGGGTGAACGGGCGCTTCGGGGGAGCTGCGCCGACAGGAAAAGCCACCCTGCCGGCTTCTTTGAAGCAGCTTCTTCCTGGGCTGGTGGAGGAGCGAGAGAGCGACTGAGAGAGGAACGAGGCGGGAGGAAACCGAAGCCAGAGAGTAGGACAGGCTTTGGTTGCTTCCTCCCTCCCCTTCTTTCATTTGTGTCCTTGATCCCTGATCCCAGCAGCATTCACCGAAGGCGAAGAAAGCCGCCACTTTTATTTTTTATTTTTATTTTCTTTGCGGCCCGGTGCAAAGTGATCCACGGACTGGTAGCGGTCCGCGGCCCGGTGGTTGGGGACCCCTTTACTAGAGTATTTTACAGATAAAGTATCTACTAAAACATAAATAAAATACCTTGAGCTATGCATAGCACTGAGAAATATCACTATTTTCTTCATCTTAGGAACTATTCTGAGGCTTAAAGGAGCAGTCTTAAGAATGGCTTTTCTGGACACAACAGGATCATTAGTTCCACCTGCATATGAACCCTGGAGAGAACACAATGTTCCTGAAGACAAGGATGAAAAGGATAAATTGAAAAAACGTCGGCCTGTCTCAGTATCTCCATCCTCTTCTCAGGAAATGATTGAAAACCAATATGCAGTGATATGCTCTGAAAAGCAAGCAAAAGTTATATCACTGCCCTCACAGAACTGTACTCATAAGCAAAATATAACAGAGACTTCATTTGTCCTTCGCGGAGATATAGTGGCACTCAGTAACAGTATCTGTCTTGCTTGTTTCTGTGCCAATGGACATATAATGACTTTTAGGTAAGGTGTTAATTGCTAAAAGAAGGAACTGTATCTGTTCCCTTTGAAATAAATTACAAAATAAAAATAGGAAAGGACAATTAATATTGTTACATAGATATCTAAATATGTTCCTAGATGGGACTGATTCCCTAGAATCTGTTTTACTTCAGATTACTTTTTTTCTTATGTTGCATTAAAAATATGCCTTTTTTATAATGTCCCTTGTGCTGTCTGTAGATGCGCAAGGGAGCAAATCCTACTTTGGTTTCTTTTCTTGTGCCTGCAGACAGAGAGATGCCTTAGTCCTTCATCTTATATTCTGGTTAATTTGATAATCAAACTATACTTTGTTTGCTTGGGTGATATAGTTTGAATTTTTAAAATAACATAGTATTTTTGCCTTTTTCCTTTTGCTGTCTTCATTTTAAGGAGAGGGTGCCTTGATTTGGTCTGAACTACTTAAAATTAAAGTTAAAAACTGTCTTGATGTGACACTATAACAGTGGTTTAGAAGCTAGATTTTTTTTCAGCAATTGGGGTTTATAACTGTTTGTCTCCTTTGCACTTCCATATGGTACAGAGTGTGACAAAGTCTCAGCAAAAAGTTAGTTGGGGCTCTAGGCCTAAAAGAATACCAGAAGGTCTCTGCTGGCCTCAGTGCTCACCCAAATAAGCATTCTGTGTATGTGCTAACGAGATGTGTCCAGAAACTCACAAGCAAAACATCAGAATAATGCTTCTTTTCCATTTGTTCCCCACTAAGAGCGTTATTTATGACTCAGGAAGTAATAGTTTATAATAATAATTGTTTTATTTCTATATACCCTTTTTAAAAGCATTTAAATTGACGATCATCAATTCATTGGAGGATAGGAAATACTATTGTTTAACTATGCATTACATTAAAAAGGATTGTAATTGGTTTGGGATATATTGTCTTTATTTTGAGATGTGAAAGACTAAAATACTTCTCTCCACATTTCATATATTTATTTATAATGATATATTATAAATAAATGATAAATAATAATCATAAATAAATGATATAATAATATATAAAAATAATTATTTTACCCATCTCTATAATGCTGCTTATCAAAAAGTACTAAACTTTGCTGTGCTTTCTTATGGGAAAGATGTTTTGATATTATGACTTAAGCAGTAATATTTATTTTAAAAGAACCTAGGGGAGAATGGCAGTTAGGATTAGGGTTATATTGTTGAATTTTTGCTAAAAAGTTTCATATTGGCGTATATTTGCAAACTTATTCAAATTATATTTTTTGTGATTTAATGTATACATTTAGTAAGCTGCTTAAATGTCTAATGTCAGTCCTTCATAAACATTTATTTGTTCTAGTTTTCAGAATTAGAATGGTGTCTAATTGATTCCTTCTGCTGCCAACTTTCTTTAGATTGTGCAGCAGAAATTTTCTGTATAGGAACTCTTAGGAGCAGGGGCTAGATTGCAATATATTTTTCAGTATTGCTCATAGAAGTTAGAACAGCTTTGTATTTCCAAGCAAGAATAACATAATTTTCTGTGACATTTATGATAAAGTTATTTGTGCTTTTCTATTTTATCTCCTTAGAAGCTTCTGTTAATATATTTTAATTGGGTGTTCCATCCTTGGAGGAATTAAAGGGAGTATGTTATGAATTAGAAGAATCACATGGAAGTTTTCTGTAGTGATCAGAATCCCCCCCCCCCCCGCCCCCCAAAAAACCTGTGATTTTAGTATTTGGTTATTTAGATTATCAATCCTTTCTATTTAAAAAAAATAGATTATCAATACTGAATAATTGAGAATTTTCAATACAATTATTTAAACAGAATTTGGGAATATATGCATAATGATCTGTGAGTATAAATATAAATATGTTTGGTCTTTACCACTTATCAGATACAACATCAGTAAATTAAATATCAGCATTTTCTTTACTATATACCTGATGCAAGTTAACATGGATAAATAGTTGATTTGTTTCATGTACACAGTCACACAGATTCTTTGTTAAACATATTAAAACCTGTTTAGGCAGAACTTTGTAAGTCAAAGCTATGGAGTCAACAATATATGAGTATTTAAAAGAAAATGAGAACATAACATATAAAGCTTTATTAAAGAAGACTAGAATAGGATACTGTGCTTTATTTTAACAAATTGTAATTCTGTTCTTTCAAGTTTGCCAAGTTTAAGGCCACTATTGGACGTATATTACTTACCACTTACCAACATGAGGATAGCCAGAACATTTTGCTTCACCAACAATGGACAGGCATTGTATCTTGTCTCACCAACAGAAATCCAGAGAATTACTTACAGCCAAGAAACATGTGAAAACCTGCAGGTAATTTTTAAATGTATTGCTATAGAAAAGCATTTATTGAAGAATGTGCTATTTATGTACAAATTGTAAATGTATGGTATATGTTTTCTTTTCTATCTCAGCATACATCTCTTTAAGGTGTGGATATTTTAAATGCATCTTAAAGTTTCAATTTAATGTAGTCAGTGAATGTTACATTATACTGGGTATTTTTTCCTTCAGAAGAAAGTAAACTAAATCTTGTTATCTACACCCTGTAATAGTTTGGGATGAGCACAAGATGAAACCATTATTCTCAAATTATGGACTCTGAGCAAATTGATGGGTTGCCAATTGGTGGCGGATTTGCTCATGGAAAGATGATCTCTGAAAATGTGGCCCAGCGTGACCAAGTTCTTGCAAAACTCCTGCTTTGTGTAGAATGATAGCTAAGGAACATTGGCACATCCACACATTCCTTCCTCAACCCTCAGTGGGCTTGAAAGCTGCGCTGTCTTTGGCTGGTTGGCTAGTGAGGTGGGAAAAGAAGGATCTTCATCTTTTTCCACTTTGAAAAACGGAGATATATAAAGTGGGCAATCTGGCACACTTGGAAAAATGTACACCTTGGAAATGGGCATGCTGGCATTGTGCCGCAAAGCAAAGGTACCTTTTTAGCAGAGTGGCAGGCACATGCAGTGGTTGTGCACATCTGCAAAACTGACAAATGAGAAGCAAGAGGATAGAAAGACATGTATAAAGCCTTATAGCATCTTGTTTACTTATTGAATTTATTTGCCGCCCATCTCGTTCGTTACAATCACAATTGAGTCCAAAATTTCTGTTAAGTGACACATTTATTAAATCAGTTTTGCCCCATTTTAGGACCTTTCTTGTAACAGTTGTGTCAGCTTTGAAATTCAGCTGCCACATTTTATTTGAAGGGATTGGAGGAGTTGAAAAGTTCAAGGTTATTCTGTATGTCATATTAAGAAATTCCAGTTGCACTTAATTGGTTCTTGTGATTTATGAAGTGTAGAAGTGGGAGGAGAGAAGGTGGATTCTGTGTAGCGCACGAAAATAATTTCACTTTGGGAAATTGCTTTAGACATACCAGATCTGTTTCTAAATAAATCAATTGGAGAGAAAATGTCTCGGAGTGATTGATATCATGGATATTTTCTGGATGCCTTACAAGTTGTTAAGTGAATCACCTGCAGTTGTTAAATTAGTAACAAAGTTGTCAAGTGAATCTGGCTTCCCCACTTGTCAGGAAAGGTGATCACATGCAACCGTGTCATAAATATGAACCTTTTGCCAAGCACCTGAATTTCCATCACATGACCATGGGGATACTGCAATGGTTGTAAGTGTGGAAATAGCAATAGCACTTAGAATTATATGCCTCTTCATAGTGCTTTACAGCCCTCTCTGAAAAGTTTTACAGAGTCAGTATATGGCACCCAACAATCTGGGTCCTCATTTTACCAACCTCGGAAGGATGGAAAGCTGAGTGAACCTTGAGCCGGTCAGGATCGAACTCCTTGCAGTCAGCCTGCAACACTGCATTCTGATCACTGTGTCCAACTACCTTTTTCATGCCATTGTAACTTTGAACGGTCATTAAATGAACTGTTGTAAATTGAGGACTAGCTGTACTAGGTGTCCAGGGCTGCATGCAACTCGTGGGCCACAGGTCAGATATGCCTATCTTACAGGAAGGAGTGTAGTATTTCTAGGATGAATGGAAAGGTGGATTTGCTCAAGAAAAACAGAGATGGTGGGGAAATCTGATCTGCAGAGTCCTCAAAAGACTGCCTTTTCCTTGGTTCCTCCCTGTTCATGATCATAGGAACAAATGGTGCATAGAAGACTTTGCTATCTTGCAAGTATGAAATGCATCAAGACCCCTTTGGTGGAAGCAATTCATATAAAACCAGAGAATTAGTATGATGGTTCCTTGCAGCTAATGGGTACTCTTCTTCCTTCTTGGGCCCCAACAGGCCTGCTACTTGCATTGGAAGACTCACTCTAGATTTTATTTAATATTTTTGTATTTCACAGCCTCCAACTTTGTGGAGTAATACAAAGATTTGGGCACAGAACTTGTGTCCCTCCAAGTGAACTAGCTTTGTGTGCATAAATCATTGCCATGACAATAATTACACAAAGACTTTGCCAGAATTTTGAACTGGTATGCTTTCAGAATTTACTCCTGTTTCTACCTGAATAATCCAGGCTGGTTTGTCAGGAAAAGAACCAAGTTTTGCCAGTAATCTGAAATTTACACAAACCATCAGGGTTGCACAGAAAAAAAAACAGGCTCTTATAAAAAAATATTTGGCAGAACCTGGTCCTATTCTTCCTGAATCAGCCAGCAACAGGACCAAATTTTAACATATTTAAAATACTGTAAATGTAGAAACATTTGAAGATGAGACCCTAAATTGGGAGACATAGCAACCTTCTGATATAATTTAAAATGATTTTTATTTAAAGGAAATGTTGGGTGAGCTCTTCACACCTGTAGAAACACCAGATGCACCAAACAGAGGGTTCTTCAAAGGTCTCTTTGGAGGTGGTGCGCAATCACTTGACAGGGAAGAACTCTGTGAGTTGATTTCATCTCTTTTTTAAAAAAAACTTATATCATATGAGGGGAATAGAAAATTAAACACAATTTATCAGTCCAACATAACTAAAAGTATGGAAAGAAATTGAAATAATGGAAACTATTGAAATATACTGCTTATTTCCTCTTACAAGTTGCTTTATTTATAAAAGGATGATTTTTTTGTGTGCAAAATTCTCACTCGTTTAATGTAGAGTTGATACAGTTGCATCAATATTTAAAGGTATCTGTAATTTAAAAAATGGGATAGTCTCTGTGTTAAAACACTTTTTTAGTTCCATCCAGACAAAAAAATGAAAAAAATATTTCTAGTTTCCATGGGATTTAAAATGCACTAAAGTACAACTACAGATGGGGGAATAAGTATCCTGTAATCATTCCTCCTAGATTAGATACACTAAATAGATTTATATATTTTTGTATAGATTATTGTTCATTAATATATTTTCCATTTTCTGCGTTAAAAAGAATACAGAGTTTGTTACATGTAAAATATAACATTAAAAGAATCCAAATGCAAAATTTAAATAGGTACTCATAAAACAGAAATTAATATCTCTGCAAGTATGTACCTATTAGAAAGATATTAGTGTTTTTTTTCTGAATACAAATGCACAATATTTATTAGTTTCCAGCAAGGGAAAGCAGTTCAAGAGGCAGAAAAAAAAAATCTTGCAAATAGGGATTTACAAAGTTTAGAGAACATTATACTAAAATTAGAAGCACTAAAACATATTGATATTATTATATTTAAGACAAGTACTAAAAATTACTATGTGTGAGTCAGAACTGTGCTGATACACATTGCATCCATTTTTGTCATCTATATTCAGTAAGAGTGACTTTAAAATCTTCCAATACATGTAATATTATTAAAATATAATAATACTGATATCTTTTATTGGTAATAAAATACGGTCACTTATCACTTCATAGTCTCCTAGGAACATAAAAACCTCATATTAATAGTTTATTATATTACAATAGAACAAATTAAAAATATAAATCAGCAGTGTGGAAATAAGTGAAACAAAATAGCAAACCATTAGTGGTTTTACTGAATACTTTTCAGTTTCTGACTCATAAAGACAAAGGTGGTTGAAATAATACTTTTCCTCCTTTCCTTTCCTTTCCTTTCCTTTCCTTTCCTTTCCTTTCCTTTCCTTTTCTTTCCTTCTCTTTTGTTTTACATTTAGAAACAATGTTGCAACATAATGTAAAACAGCGTTTTTCAAATTTAGCAACTTTAAAATGTATGGACTGTTGAAGTCCATACATCTTAAATTCCTGAAGTGAAGAACATGATGTAAAATATAAAGAACTGTTGAGGAATCAAACCAGTCAGTCTACACAACTAATAATCAAGGGCTTTAACTAACACTCTAATCCCCATGCCTGGAACACATCTGGATCTTAGGAACTTTCTGAAAAGCCAGCAACTCAAAGCCAATTTAATTTGGGAAGGAGTTCTCCAAAGGGGAAACTGAGCAACAGAAAAGTCTTACTTTTTGGTTTACTACTTAATTATAAATTGAACAAGGAACAATTTATAGGTATATTAACTTTCTCTAAGTAATTTCAAATAATATTTTAAAAAGCATGTATATAGTTAAATAGGGATAAGATATTGACTATATTGCTGTTAAGATTATTGAATAATTTTCAACACATTATTTTCATTTGGTTTTATCATAAAGTATATTGTTTCATCTCTCCCAGTGTGTAATTCTGCTTACAAGTAGTAAGTTCTCCTCTGAAAGGAATGCAAACATAATTTGTTTTTTCTTGATATGATCAGTTGGTGAATCTGCTTCTGGAAAGGCATCAAGAAGCCTTGCCCAGCACATACCAGGACCTGGCGGTATTGAAGGAGTCAAGGGAGCAGCATCAGGAATAGTTTGTGAGTTGGCACGAGCCAGAATAGCACTGGATGAAAGAGGGCAAAAATTGGGAGAGCTGGAAGAACGAACAACAGCCATGTTAGCTAGTGCTGATTCTTTCTCAAAGCATGCACATGAGGTACGTCCTTCTCAGTATCAGTTGACTTTTTTACAAGAAGGCCAATTATTTTGGTTTATTCTTTCCAGTTTGAATAGAGTAGCATGAACGATTCACTGTGGATATTCTGGGAAGAATGTGAATATTCCCATTATGTCAGCAGTTATGATCAGATAGGCTTTCCTGGTCATCTTTATTTAAATTAATTGGTTGTTATATTGTTAGAGGTAGAAACTTAATAAAATGAATTTATGCAATTTATATTTGTGGGGTTCATTTTTTCTATACTACTTTTAACTATCTATTCAATTATTCACTCATTAATAATGTCATTAATAATGGATACTTTGTAGTCTTTAGAATAAATGGCATTGTGTATACTCTCAGATGCATTATTATATATTTTGTTCCTTTGTTTTGCTTTTAGATGATGTTGAAATGCAAGGATAAAAAATGGTACCAGTTCTGACAACACATTCTCAAATGCATCTCTATAACTTTACCTTGAAGAAAAATCTTTTCATTAACTTCTGCAGGACCAGCAAAGCTGGAAGGGTGTCAGCCAATGGGTACAGATGTTTCCTAGCACAAATTATGCACTGGTTTACCTCAGTCGTACAGCTTTAACTGAGGATCATTGTATTTAAAACTGACACCCACATCGTGAGGGTGTGTTTGCGCATCTGCGCATGTATGTGTGTTATCTGTGGGATGACTGGGAGCTTGAGAACAGAATTGATGGCAAAGAGAACACATGGACAAAAATAGAAAATTTGGAATCAAAAGAGCAGGGGCAATGCAGGATCTATCCTGTGTTAATATTTCATATGCCAAAAGTTTTGTGCTATTGTTGTTGCTGCCAGTGTTTCATCCTCCTCCAAGAGGCTGCAATAAATCAGGGGTCCAAGAGCTAGAATAAAGTTCATTTTATGGGACTATTAACTGATCTACACCTTTCCTCCTTAAAAGCACATTCATAAAGCTGTCTGAAAATGACTTATTCTGCTACCATTTCTCTGATCTGATAAACTGGAAATACACAAGTTCCATCTTGAATCTACACATAGTTCACATGCAGTCACATAGTCTCTTCTTGGACCCCTGATCTAATAGTATTGTCTTTGCATCTTTATATTGTTGCTGCATTGGGACTTCATAATAAACCATGGCATGCTTTTGCTTCAGTTTTTGTTTAACTATAGCTTTGTTCATACTCAACAAGATTACTTTTAATGCCTGTGACTTACTGGTCTGAAATAAGCCATCTTCATAACTCAGTTTGAAGCTAGCTTGTTTCAATAAACTTTAGGTAAGATTGACCACATATGACCATATAGCATTAAACTGCTGTTAATCAGATGTGAAAGCTTCCAATTTTGTATGGCCATATCTGAGAAGCAAAAGAAAGAAACATGTAAGCTCAAGGCTTGCTGTAGCTCATTTCTCTCATAATAATCCATGTTTTTTGTGATGTCCACATGCAGCCAGCATCAAGTAAAAAATAAGATGATAAGTTACTTTGCATCATAAAAACACAAGTGATTGACCTGCACATCATGCTAAAAGTTTTCATTTGTGTTATGGCTGTCTAATGTGAAAAGTAAAAATATCTCTTGCAATGATACATATTTGTCATCTTTCAACCAGTTATATATATATTTTTTATTTTCCTGCCAATATAGCTGGACCATTTTATAATTTTTTACATGGATACAAATTTAATTCATGCTGTACAACTTACTTTGTGTGTTTAACAGAATGTATTTGTGTAAGAATTTAAATATCAGGTAAGTAGCTAGCTTACATGCCCAATCAGGTAAACTTGTCTTCAGTTCAGTGTTGAACTCTTAAGATACAACTTTCACAATTTATCAATTGCATTGTACTAAAATATATTCAGGAAAAAAAAACAGAATTTAATTTGAAAATAGTTTCTAAGTCAAACCCATCAGCAAAGAAGTTGGCTCCTTAATTTGAGTGTGCTTACTTGGAAACAAGTCTTTTAATTTGAAAGGAATTTTCTTCCATGTAAGTGCCCTTTGATTCACTGCATAGATTACACAATAAAGGTAAAATCAGAGTGGATTGTTTTCAAAGCACTCAATATTTTACCACTTTAGGAACTGGTAGATTCTTATGTAGATTTGTACGAGAGGAGGGATTTAAGATGTGCCAAATTGAAGCAGTATATTTTTAGCTAATAAAGGCTACACCAAAGCCATATTATAAAATAATTTATTTTAAAATATTTAGAAAAATACATAAGAAATGTTTGTCATGTTGGAAATCAGAAATAGTGACTAATTTATGATCATTTGCAAACAGCCTTAATTAGTGTAGGCTTTATTTAAGCAAGTGCCAGTATATGGCCATTCGGAGGCTTGAGTTTTATTTTTCTAAACACTTGCCCAAACTCTGCAAATGTTGAATGAATTATTTGATATGCATGTCTGAAGTTTAAGCCAAAAGAAAATTTCCTGGTGTTGGTTAAGCAATGGTTTGGCTCAAAATATTATTTGGATATGCATTTATCTGTAATATGGTTCAGTCCACGTTAAAAGTTACTGACTGGCATTGTTTAATGAAGTCTTTCAAATAAATTAGACCTACTTCTGAAAAAATATGATTTAAGAAACCTTTCATTTAATAAAGCTAAGCCCTTTCAGTCTGGTTACAACACTGGGTGGATAGATGTGCAAACTTCAGGAAAGCTGAAATCTGTTTCTCTCTTGGGGTTGCTAATATATTTTGCTAGTATATTTAAAGCATTAGATTATTACCTCTCTTCAGTGCAGCTTTGGGTAAGGATACTATGAAATTCACTTAATGTATCAGAGAAGAAAATTTCAATATTCCTGCAACTATCGAACATTTGATTCAGCAAATGGTTCTTGCCACCAAATTTTGAGCCAGATATAAAATTACTTGCTTACTTATTTTGCTTGTATGACATTTAATTATAGTACAATTGTGGGGTGTTTAAGGGATGTAAAATAAATTACTTGAGTTTATAAGAATATGTTGAATAAGATCCATAAGCCAAATTTTTAAAAGATATGTGACATAGGCATAAAAATGTTAACAACTTATTTATTATTGTAACCTCCCTATGCATTAGTAATTTCACTTGTCAGTTGCTAATTTTTGTTGTTGTACAAATAGTATGATCTAGCTTAAAATTGTTAAGTTTGGTTGATTTCTGATGGAAACATTTAAGCACGTGCTAAAAAAATGTCCTATTGATTTCTTGGCTCTTACCTTGGCTTGATTGTATCTTGCAGTCTGAAGCATAAACCTTAGTACACTTAACTGAAACATGATTTCCTTTAAGGAAAAATGTTTTACAGCTACAAATAAACAGAATAGTAATTCTTCCAGTTGTAAAAGTGGATGGAAAAGAGAATGCTATAATGAATCAAGAATTAATGATGTCAGCTTTCTTACCTGCTGGAAGTGCTCCCACTCATTCTGAATTCTGAGGTGATCTCCATTATGCATTTGTGAACAAGTATTCGATAGATGACAAGCTTCATGAAGGAGATGCCAACAAACATTTTCTAAAATGTGCATTTTATACCATGAATGAAATAATTTAACTAGAAAATATTTGCAGAAAATAGACTTTGGCAAATATGCCATTTTACTGGTTATGTTCATTTAACACTATTTGTCAATTCTCCTTGAAGTAACATACAGTTGTAGGACAGTTTGCTTCATACATAATTTATTTGTTGTTGTATTAGGGACATTACCATTAGGTTCTTCAGTTGTATTTCATCTGGACAAGTAGTCAGAATAAGGCTGCATACATTTTCAAAATTTGGAATGCATATTAGAAATGTTTGGTGGTTCTGTCATATTGTGGTAGACATCCTGATGCTGTCTTTATTGCATGGCCAGTAATCATAAATTATGAGCTTTATATTCAAACTATATATGGAGCACCAAGTTGTATACTCCTAGTATGCACATTCATTTTTTGAGGCCTTCCACAACTCTTATCAAATTAATTTGGGATAGTTTTCATAGTGCTGTGCTGAGCCATCTCTTATTTTGAATGTTGATGTGAAGGAGGAAGAACACTTTTAGACTTGATGAAATTTCTTGAAAGGTTAGTTGTAGTTTATTAGTGGCAAATCCCTATTCACCAATCCGTTCGTGCATTATTTAATAAACAAAACAAAAAGTGTTTTCTTTCTAGAAAGAGTTGGTTGCTTATGTAGACATTCAAACATGACAAGTAATCATTGCATTAAAGCATTACTATAAAACTTGTTTTCCTATGGTTACATAATCTGTTTCTAATGATTATTTTTAATGGTGTTGGAAGTAGTTAATAGTGTCTGCAAACTTATTTAAAAGATACTGTGGGCAGAATTAAAAAATGGTGGGGAATGTATAAGAAGTTAATATATAGATGAGATAAATTGCAAGGACACACGAACACCTTGATAATATTTGAGACACTAATTAAAAATTAGCAAAATGGGAAAGCATGTTTTCATTCACAAAATATGTCCATATTTGCCCAGCACATTTTGTTTGGAAAAGCCAAAACAAAATACAAACAAAATCCTTCCTCATTATGGTTGTTGATTTTGAACTGTTGTAACTGCATTGACTAGTGAGAGAAACATATTTCACATAAATACGTATATCCTTTCAAAATCAGTAGAAAGAATGTAGTATTTCTTATGAGGAAAATGTGTAGCTCAGAAATTTTTAGAAATAGATATAGTGGTTAAAATAAAGAATTAAAAGTGTGTTATCATTGTTTCTTTACTTACCACAACTGTGCAATTATTAAACCACTGATACTGTGTCAGAGGCTCATTCCACAATAGCCAGGACAGTTTGATAGCATTGTTGTAGAAAAAGAAGCAACTATATGTAGTCCAGGAAAACTGCTGCTACCCGTCTTTCATGTAATATTAACAAGTTTAATTTTTAATAAACTGAAGACACAATTCTTCAGTTAAAAACTGCCAAACTGTAATTCCTGAATGTTTATGTAAATATTATTTCAAGCAAGCCTGAAAGTGTGATTCCATTATAACAGTTAAGAGTAAAGCAACTTTCCTGATTTGTATCAATAGCCTTGAGATGATTTAATTTACATTTGTTGCTTGAGGTATTTCCTTCATGTGACATCTGTATATTAGAAAGCTATAGCCAAAGGTAATCTTGATGCAGTGGATTTTTTTTTCTTTTTTTTTGCTTTCTATAGCACTGATCTTATCCGAACTATAAACTTGAATTTCTTTTTCCTGCACTTTAAGTATTGCAAGCTTGAGTATTTCATCCTTTTCCATCTATAAATTTTAAATTCTATGTAGATATCATTTAGAAAATTAATTTCAGCAAACATCCAATCCATATACAGAATTCTACATTTTCTCATGTATCAAGTTCCTTGTGGACAGGAGCTTCCAAGCTGGTAAAGGAAGGAGGCCTTCAGGACTAAAGACTGCACATATGGACTTGTTTCCTTCACTGTATTAGTAGACAAGTAGAAAGTGCAGGAGGTACTGTACATTGAAACTCCAAAGGATCAGGAAAAATTAACTGTAAAATAATATTTTTAAAAGTTTTAAAACATCAGCAACAACTGAAACTCTTTCAGATTTGTTTAATGGTCACCTAAAGCTGCAGTGTTGTCCAAAATAAGATGTGCTTTTGGTTCTATATTTAAAAAAAAAAAAGTGAATTAAGCACAGGCTAAATTGAAGTTGTGATAATTTTTTTAATATAATGTCATAAGATATAGTTGGCTATCAAATCTGAAGATATTTCTCTTAATTAAAATTATGTTCAATTTGTCAAATATATATAAGAAGCATACAAAAGTTAATTCAGCTTATAGGAAAATTGTCATTTCATGTAGAAATGATGATAAGCATACCCAGTCTAATAAAATACTTCTGGCCTAAAGCAACATAACAATGGGAAGGGAGACATTTACATAATCCAGATGTAACATACTGAAAAGCAGCTTGTTGATGGATATCCATTATAACTCTAGTTTTCCATGAGTGTATTAAAACTGAATTCCATTTATTCTATTTTATTTCGGTCAGCTACAGTATTTTGTATTCTGAAATACTGTTTTCTCCATATTTTGTATTTGTTGGTCTTTGTCTTTAAAATTGTTTTTTTAATGCATATTCCTATGGTTGGTGAATAATCCCATTTTGTTAGTGCCCTGATGCATAGAGATGGAAATATGAGTCCACTAGTTGTGGTATGCCTAGTGACTGAAAAGTACTCATTGCTTGCCTTTGTTTATTGTGCAAATTCTCGGCTGCGCTTGTTCCCATAGTCTAGATACTTGTCTGTACAATGTTGTGAATTTCTTTCCCCTTGTGAATGTTAGTGATGTTACTACCAAAAATAAAGATCCTGTTAAATGAATTTTGTGGTTGGGGGTGGTGGATGATAAAAAGCTAATGTCCAGTCCATGTGAACTACCTGCATTTAAAAACTGCTTAATGTACATTGAGAATCAAATCAGGAATGCATGAATATGTTTCTTATGTAAATCATGTTCGTTTGAAGTCCAAATCAGTGTGCTTTTTAATTTTCAAACTAATTTGGTTATAGGAATCAAAATGCAACTAAATCTGTATTAGCATTTTTCATAAATACATTTAGAAATTAGTATTTCTAAATGTCAAGCAACTGTATGTTTCTTCTTGACCTTTACATTTTTACAGATTAGTAAGTCTGATTTTTGGATAAAATCATGGCATCATCCATGGAGTTATTATTTAATATTGCAAAGTGGAGAAATGGAGTGTTAACTCCCCTTTTAAAAATGTGTAAATAAACTTGAGTTACTTCATCTCATATGCTGCTATTCATATTGGTTAGATCTAAGAAGAGCATTCTACTTTCTAGAATTGCTTCTGTTTCATTAAGCAAGCACCACTGAAGAAAAAGGAGAAGAATAACAGTAAATGATTCTACCATTATTCTTTGGGAAAGCATGCTTGATATAAAACTTCTAGCTTAAATGTATTTTGCTCTATGTACATTGTGTATTTCATTTTTTTTATTGTCCTCTACCATTTTAGTCTTGCAGAGCCCCACTGTGTGTTCTGATGATGAAACTGGGAAATGCATTTTAGGATAGGGTTGCAGATTCATCTGTCTACAAACTTAGTTTCATACGAATGGTAAACCATACCATTACAAATGGAAATGTTAGATTGCATAATTTTACTTAAATGTACTTGATTCTAAACTATGTCATAACATTAAAATTAAGTATGGGATATTTTTGTAAATAAAAATACCTGTGCAGTTGGTATTTTAAAAAGGGAAAATGTATATTATACATTAATGTTTCAGAAAATAATGTTCATATGTGTATATGAATGTGTCATTATGCTGAAGGGCTCTGACTGGGCAAAATAAACTATTCAAATCTCTCCTGAAACAAAACTAGCTTTTGTTTCATGCATCATTAATGTATTCTTAATATGATCAATTCTTGAAGATCTATCCCACTTTCTTAATGCTTTCAAGTAGTAGACAAAGTGACAGACCTTAATGTAGGTTTAAAAAAGGGTCCAAATCTGAAAATAGTGCTAAGTTTAAGTTGCTGATTTCCTTGATTATGAACAAACACCTATAAAATGCTGCCTATTAAGTGTTGCATGTATTTCCATAATTTATCATTTGCTTTTTAGCTAAAACTCTTGGTAGAAAGAAGAATCACCAAAGGGAAATATTTCCACGTGTTAAAAGAAACATTACTTTATCCTTTTGTCAAATTACCTTCATTTCCATGTTTCTGACTGAAGTATTGCATGTACTTTATTATTTGTGTTTATAAGATTTTGTAAGACCTTATCAAGTTGGCCTTGTACCCTTCCCTTAAATCTAATCAGGTATTTATTAATTTATTTACATATATTTATATACATTTACCTGTCTAGCCATTCAAAGTGGCTTATATAAAATAAGAAACATTAGATATGATACAATTATATATATATATATAATCTTACATGATAAACATATAAGCCAATCTCTTATAATACATTTTAAAAACTACAAAGTTAAACTATCCAATAATGTCAAACTGCCAGGAGCTATTTTAAAAACCAAGAGTTTTAAAAGGCATAAAATTTAAGATTACTAAGAATTTAATAATCTAGTCCCAGTTGATCTCTGTGGAAAGTATTCCATAACCCCAAAATCACCACTAAAAAAAATCTTTTCATAGGTAATCTAGGGAATACATATGTATGGGGAATATATATAGATGAAAGCATTTCCACAGAAATAACATGCCAAACTGAAGAGCCCTACCCTCGAAACCACAACTGTAAGAATGAAGTGGCGTGTAGTACAAGGGAGAAATGACTGCTTAAACATAGCTCAACCTTTTAATAAGGTTGAAACATAGTTCAGCCTTATTAAAACTCTCATTAACAGCTAGAATTTCATAAGGAGTCCCATAGAGATCGCATTTCATTTATTCATACATGAGATTATGGGAGTGTATCATTACAACCAAGATATCTGCCTAAAATCAGAGTTATAATGTATTCCCAAACACTTTAAATTATGAACCTGACTCCAAAACAATTTGAATCTTCATTGAGAAATTACATATCTACAAAACTGGCCTACCTGGATTTAACAAGTTGTTTTTTAGCATTTTTGTAAGTAACAGCTCTTTTGTATCTTTGGCAAAGATACTTTGATATATAATATTACATACATACATACATCAGGGATGGGGTTCAACTTTTTTAACAACCGGTTATGTGGGTGTGGCTTAGTTGGTGGGTGTGGCTTGGTTGTCGTGACTGGCTAAGTGTGGCCAACTCAAATCACATTGAGGCACGCATCTCGCCTGGCCTCTCATGACTTTGGGGATGCTGCAACAGTCGTAAGTGTGAAAAATGGTCATAAGTCACTTTTTTCAGTGCCATTGTAACTTTGAATGGTCACTCCACACAAGCAAAGTACCAGCAAAGGAGGGGAAAAAACTCCAGAGAAGTTCCTGAGATAGGAAGTCTAGTCCTGCCAAGAATGTAATAAAAGTTAACGGAGAGGCAGTTTCTGTAAGCAACACCAGAATGTTTCCTTCCTGCCTTCCTTACAGGATTAGGCCAGTAATTTCTTCTAACAACCAGTTCTCCGAACTGCTTAGAATGTTAACAACCGGTTCTGGCGAATAGGGGTGAACCTGGAGAATCCCACCCCTGAAATACATACATACATATATACATTCATACATACATATCAAAAATGCTTTGATACATATTACAGATTCCCATTTTAAACAATCTTTAAAGATGACAAAATGCTGTTTTTGCATGTCTCAATAAAATATTAGCTATGAATTTAAGTCATTACCTTGAATGTTAAGTATTCATCTTTTTAAAAATATTCAGAAGTTTTATATTCAAAGACTGTGTTCACTTTGTGTGATTTATGTCTGTAGTTCTATTAGTTTGAAGTATTGCTAGAACAAGCCTCTTAATCATTATACAGTTGAAATGCCATATTTATTTTGAAGTAACTCCTACTTTGAGATTAGGGTTAAGTACAAGTATGTTTCTTGTAATTGTAACCTTGCAATTAAGGGCACGGTAATATAAAAGAATTTTCCCATAGAAGTATCTCTAATCTTAGAGACATCATTTGGAGCTTGAACAGTCAAGCCTTCAGGGGAAATATGGGAGCTTAGAATAACACACTATACTTAAAACATACAGTTTCTACTAAAATAACTACTGAATTCAATGACCATGTCTTTTCTGAGGACAATATAAAAGACTGAAAAAAAGATTGCTCCTTCCAATATCTTCTCAAAAAGCATTTCTGCAGTTCCTGAATAAAAGGTTAGTCAGAAAATGTAGAATCAATGTTAAAATGTGTATCTGTCATATAAGGCTCCTATAAATTTATTTTAAAACTATCATCTATCTTGGAAGAGGTCAGAATTGTATACAATACCAAGAATTTAAAAAATGAAACTTTTGTTGCTGTAATTAAACACCATTTCCCTCAAAAATATGAATATTTGAGTCAAATAGTTAAATGTTTACATCCACTGGTGAAATTTTCAAATTACAAGAAGATTTTTTTTTTAGACAAATTTTATTAGTTTTACAAAACAATACACAAACAAACAAGGCATAATAACATAAAAGATCTTTTCTGAAAAAACCAATAGAACATACAAAATTATTCCAAATTGTAATATATATATTTACGTTATCTGTTCAACTTCGTATCTTATCCCAACTTCTCCTTTTCATTCTATTATCCAAATTATATTTCTTGCTAATTAAAATTTTATTGCTTTTCAAAAACAATACACAAACAAACAAAACGTAGAACATAAAAACATAAAACATCTTTTCTGAAAGTTGCTTGATCCCGGGTTAAAACCCTTCGCACAGACACAAATTCAAAAATCATATTCACTTTATATACCATTCCATATCTTATAACCATTTTCAATTTTCTATATAGCTTCTTCCCTCTTTTATCTTTCTTAGTTTTATTTTATTTATCTCATCTCAGTTCAATTCATAATACTTATCATTCTTTGTCTGTTCTATTTCCAGCTATCCATTCATCTTTTCTCTTTAAACAAACTTCTCCTGTGCACTGATTGGAGTGACGCCTTTAACTCTTTCCCCTAGCTTAATAATACTTAATATAACACTTAACTTATATTGGGATTCTGTTTAGTACATTCTAAAATTACACAATGAATTTTATAAGAAAGGAAAAAACACAACAATAACAAAGAAAAAGCATATAAGACCACTATCAATGCCATTAAGAAACTAATCATACATATTAATACTCATTTATATCTTAAGCATTTTATTCTTAAAATATAAAAACACAATCTTATGTACCTTACAGAATCCCTTTTTTCAATTAAATTTACTCATTGTCTCTAAATGAGTTTTGTTTCTTTAAATCTTGCTTCCCACCATTAAGGCTTCTCATCCCCTCCTTTCTCTCTTGCTTATTCTTTTCCTTGCCCTTTTTACCCCTTTGTCTCTCCTCCTCCCTTTTCTTCTTCTGCTTTCCCCATTTCTGTTGTTTTCTAACCTTGTATCCACCTTTCACCTCATTTTTCTCTTTTGGTTGTTTTTTCAAGCCTTAAAATCCCCTTTTTCTTTTCCTCTTTCTCCTCCTCCCCAAATAGAACCATTTGTTCATCAAAGATGGCTTCTTCTTTGTCCCAGTCGTCCTGCTGCGCAGTCAATTTTTCATAAGTGCATACCGCCATTTCTAGAAATTGAAAAAGAGTGCCCAAAGTATCTTTTCCATCTTGTTCTTCTTTTTTATATTTTTTATATTCAATTTTTAGTTCATCCACAAGCAATGCCATCGTGAAGAGAAAATTTTTTTCCAAAACAACCACCCGAGTGTTTTTAATCAAGAATAATTTCCAAAAGTTCCAAAGTCACCAAAGAATCCAAATAAACTATTTCTTTTAATACTTTTTTCTTCCATTTCTCTTTCTGGGGTTGCTGTTTGATCAAAGAGTTCCAATTAAGATATATCTTTTAGAAGCCGTATTAATATTCAAGCTCTTTAAAATTCTGCTCCAATTTTTTTCCCTCTCCCTTCCCACTTACAGCAACAATTTTCCTTTAAATGTTCAGAAATCCATACCTCCAATGCGGGTTTTCCGATTTCTTTTAAGGTTCTATCGCTGTCACGTTCGGAAGGAGAGTGAAAAGAAAAAAAACTTTTCCTTTAATTTACATTTGCCGCTTGACACATTCTGGAAACGATGTTTCTTTAGCAAGTT